CAATGGCCTGGAAGATGCAGCCTGCAACCCAAAGACCCGTACTGGTGCGTCTCCACGTCAGAGTGGAGGCACCATGAGCACTGGGGCTTCCTGCACTCTTCCCAAGGGTCAGCACAGCCAGGAAACCCCCTCTGAGGATGGAAGCAAGGCCCGGAGCAGCCAGACACCTCTCCCCGGCCGGCTGCAAGCGAGCTCCTGGCTTCTTATCGCAACGAGGCCGACGAAGCAGTGGCTTCCTCAAAGTGACTTTCACCTGTAGAACAGGCCACCAAGACGCTGGAATCAGTGACAGGGAGGCTACAGCAGCATTGGAAGAACGGGCGCAAGGACGCTGTAGCTCTGCCCCTCGTTTTCCTGTTGGGTCCCAACCCCAAAAGCGCAGCTGCTTCTAGAGCGGAGGTGGGGAACTATGGCTCCCCTTATGACTTGTGGACTTCAAGTCCCAGAATTCCTGAGCCATTTTGGTACCATAACTGGATACCCTTTCCCCAGTTGTACAGACTTCAGCTTCCCTAATTCTCCACAATTACCATCCTGACTGGGAAATTCTAGGAGTTGAAGTCCAGGTGTCTGGAGAGGATGATATTGAAAGGTTAAGGCTAATTTTAAACAAGTCAAATTCAGTTGCCCCCACTATTCATAATACAGAAACACACCACCCAAACAAATGGGTCAACTGAGTGTATGGTTCCCTTTATATGGTCTAACTGTCCTGGCTTTTTTAGGTTTAAAAATATTTCCAGTTAAAAGAAAAAAAAATCTGTTTTCCTTCAATCCTAAAGTTCAAGTGAATTCTGCACCAACATCTCACATAGACTGCATTAATCACATATTAGGTTTTTTGCTTTCTGGAAGGGTCTTTTTTTATTGAGATACATATCCAGTCTTGTTATCAGTGTTCTTTCGTGCTTCAGGCTCAAGGGTGGGCTTCAGCTGGTTCGCACCACTTCGGCAGAACCGGTAGCTAATTTTTTGTTGCCCAGGCCCAGAATGGACTTCCAGAAGCGGCATCCATACAGAGAACCGGTTGTTCACCTATTTGAATCCCACCACTGTTCAGGCTGCATGATATAGAGCCAAGTTACATAAGGATGTGAAGGGTTCTGGAACAAAGGGAAATTGTTTAGTCTGTTGGTTTCTTGCTTTTTGTAATCAGCTTTTGTACCAGAGAAATTTCATGCAAACTTAGGAAACGTGTACATGGATGGAGGGAATAAGGGAGTGGCTTTCTTATGATGTCTTTCTTATGATGTAATGGCTCTGTTGTCTGATTTCCATTGGCTAACAAAGTGTATAAAGCAATGCTACCAACTTTCTAAGACAGGACACTTCTGGGCGTAACTCTGTCAGCGTTCCAGATTGTTGGCCACCCAGCTGCTTAATTTGATCAAATAAAGTGCTGCTTGATCAAGAAGTCTCCACTTGGGTTATCTGATTAGATTGATACGTATATCAAGTTTAAGTAAGGGATTGGAATCTTACAGGTGAGAAATTGGTGTTTTTTCCACATCTGTTGTTCTACCTCGGAATGGAAGACAACAAAATGCAAACTGTGCATTCTTGCCAAAATTGTTCCCCATTTCTAAATTCCAGGCAAACAGCTTGCCACGCAGAGTTGAAGCTATGGTTCTGATCAGAGTGCTAGCAAACCTACTGATACTACAGCTTTCTTACGGTAAGAGCCTGGACAATGGAGCAAAGGGTAGACGGAGCTTTAGGTATCTTTTTCGGTTTAAACCTCCAGTTACAGGAGTAAACTTGCATGTAATTATTAATTGTAGATATACAAGCAGGTCACAAGTAGAGAGTGGGTGAAGAAGGCCCGGTTGATGCAAATGCTGAAGACCATTGCTGTATTTGTAATGATAGTATGAATTGATACATTTATTCATATCAGCAAAACTAGCCAGTTAAAAATATATAATCCCAAATATGGTCAGCTTCCTTTCATGTTTCTATTTATTTGGCAACTGACTTCAATAGAGGAAGATAACTTATTAATTAATATAAGATGCATTGAGAAAAAAGTTGGGAGGGGTTTTCAGTGTTAAGGTGGTCTTTAAAAAATGTTGTATGAGATGGCCATTGATTTTTGTCCAAACTGGTAAAATAAATCTGTTGGATTTAACCTAGCTCCCATTCTGTTAGATTTGCTGCATTATACAGTGTGCAATATCTGGGTCATTGCTTCTGAAACAAATATCAAAACCGGTATGTAGGGATTTTATTGCCATCAATGTTGGCTCAAACTGTTTTTAGTGAACTAAATACTAATATGTTATCAACTTCCCATAGATTGAATTCCATTTTCATCAATCACTTCCCCACTTTCACTCCTTCTGTTCCCTATTCTCCCCATCATGAGGCCATGTATTTTGCTTAGCAATGCAGTACAGCAAGATCAGACTCTGGACCAAATGCTTCTAAATGTCCATCCTTTTTAGAAGCTCATCTGAACTATTCTTCTTACTTCAACTAATTAGCGTAATCTGACTGGCAGTGATACCATTAAGTTACTGACCTCAATTTCTCCATAATATTCAAACAATCTTATCAATCACAATTTTCACAATAATTAACATCTAAATATCCAAATTTTCCACTTAAATATATCTGGTCTTATGAGAAGCTATGGCATATGTTGCTTCACTTCTCCACTGCTCAGTAACTTTCTTCAGTGCCATTGTAAATTTGAATGGTCACTAAAAGAATTGTTGTAAGTCCAGAATTACCTGTATTAATAACTGATTGGAAAGTATTAAACATTGGTCTCCAGCTTTGCTTGTACAAGCAGTTAAGGTAATTTACCTACATGGGCATAGACATATATATGATTTGCAAATAATCCATTTGATTCTACTGGTTTGATGCTGGTGTCCCACAGTCATCTCTTACCCTCCAAAATTAGTGTACTGATAAATTGAAAGATAAAAAGGACAAGTATAGAAAGTGGAAAGAGGGGCACATAACTAAGTCAGAATATCAGCAAATAGCCCGAGCCTGCAAAGATGAAGTGAGGAAAGCCAAGCTCAAAATGAACTAACGCTTGTGACCAAAGTAAAAAATAACAAAAAAAGCTTCTTTCAACATGTAAAAAACAAGAAAAAAGTGAAGGGAATAATTGGTCCATTAGTGGGGATAAGTGGCAAGAAGGTGACAAGGAACAGGGAGAAAGCAAAATTATTTAACTCGTTTTTTGCATCTGACTTTACACAAAGGGAAAAAACAGACCAACCTACCAAAAATAGTGCCATAAAAAAACAGAATAGAAACGCAAGTTAAGATAGGCAAGAAAATGGTAAGTGAGCACCTGTCCAGCCTAAATGAGTTCAAATCACCAGGACCAGATGGATTACACCCCAGGGTTCTCAGGGAACTTGCAGATGTGATCTCAAAACTATTTAACTATATTTTTCAAAGATCCTGGAGCACTGGGGAACTACCGGAGGACTGGAAAAGAGCTGATGTGGTTTCCATCTTCAAAAAAGGGGAAAAAATGGACCCAGGAAATTACAGACCTATCAGCCTGACCTCAATACCTGGGAAGAATTTGGAAAAGATAATCAAACAACGAATCAGCGAACACCTAGAGGCAAACAAAGTCATTACTAAAAGCCAACATGGGTTTGTCAAAAACAGATCATCCCAGACAAATCTTATTGCATTCTTTGACCAAGTGACAAAATTAGTGGATCAGAGGAATGCTGTGGATATAATTTACTTGGACTTCAGTAAGGCATTTGATAAAGTAGATCACAACCTACTACTTGATAAGATAGAAAAATGTGGGTTAGACAGCATCACCACCAGATGGATCCGTAGCTGGCTGACCGGCCGTACTCAGCGTGTGGTCCTCAATAGAACTGCATCTACATGGAGGGAAGTGTGTAGTGGGATGCTCCAGGGCTCTGTTCTGGGCCCAGTGCTCTTCAACATCTTCATCAACGATTTGGACACGGGGATAGATGCTGAAATCATCAAATTTGCTAGATGACACCAAGCTGGCAGGAATAGCCAATACTCCAGAAGACAGGCTTAAGATACAGGAGGATCTGGACAGACTTGAACACTGGGCGCTATCTAACAAAATGAAATTCAATGGTGAAAAAAGTAAGGTTCTACATTTAGGCAAGAAAAACCAAATGCACAGGTATAGTATAGGGGGTACCTTGCTCAATAGTAGTAACTGTGAGAGGGACCTCGGAGTCCTAGTGGACAATCACTTAAATATGAGCCAGCAGTGTGCTGCACTGCCAAAAAGGCCAACACAGTGCTAGGCTGCATTAACAGAGGGATAGAATCAAGATCAATGAAGTATTAATACCACTTTACAATGCCTTGGTAAGGCCACACTTGGAATACTGCATCCAGTTTTGGTCACCACGATGTAAAAAAGATGCTGAGACTCTAGAAAGAGTACAGAGAAGAGCAACAAAGATGATTACGGGACTGGAGGCTAAAGCATATAAGGAACGGCTGCTGGAATTGGGTATGTCGAGTTTAATGAAGAGAAGGACGAGGGGGAACATGATAGCAGTGTTCCAGTACCTCAGGGGCTGCCACAAAGAAGAGGGAGTCAAGCTATTTTCCAAAGTGCCTGAAGGCAGGACAAGAAGCAATGGATGGAAACTAATCAAGGAGAGAAGCAACCTAGAACTAAGGAGAAACTTCCTGACAGTTAGAACAATTAACCAGTGGAACAACCTGCCTCCAGAAGCAGTGAATGCTCCAACACTGGAAGTTTTTAAGAAGAGACTGGATGGCCATCTGTCTGAAATGGTATAGGGTTTCCTGCCTGAGCAGGGGATTGGACCAGATGACCTCCAAGGTCCCTTCCAACTTTATTATTATTATTATTATTATTATTATTATTATTATTATTATTATTATTATTATTATTATTATTACTATTACTATTATTATTACTATTATTATTACTACTACTATTATTATTATTATTATTATTATTATTATTATTATTATTATTATTATTATTGCAATTATGTTCTACTCCACAGCCAAACACTGAATGTTTTTCGTTTCTTTGCAGCACAAAGGTCTTCTGAACTGGTCATTGGAGGTGATGAATGTAACATAAATGAACATCGTTTCCTTGTACTCGTGTACACTGACAAGTTGCAATGCGGTGGGACTTTGATCAACCAGGAATGGGTGCTTACTGCTGCACACTGTGATGGGTGAGGGCATTACAGAATGTGGAAGGGTTGAGGGAGATCTTGTTTAGATATCCAGATTTTTTTATAATGTTTCTGCTAGTTTTTAGTGACTTCTCTGTGCATTTTGAATGAATGTTCTGCTTTTACTGCTATTGCTCCTCACAATCATATCTTGAGCAATGCTGTTTATATTTATGGTCGAATTTTCATCTTCTTAACAACAGTATTCATATCTTTCCTTTTTTCTGGGATATAATAATAACAAGAATAACAAAATCTGGAACATTACCTGAATACCATCAGCATTGACAAAATCACCACAGTCAATTGCAAAAGGCAGCCTTACTTGGAACATCCTGTGACAATCCCCGTAATACCATGGAACCACAAAATTTACCTACCACAGGTCCTTGGGAAGGACTTGATAGGTGTATAAAAATGCCAAATCCAGTCTAAATATCTGACTAACTGCACAACTAACCAGAAAATATTAACCATATGCTGCCTCACTCTGGGGGTTTGCCATAAAAAAATGTTTTTTTTAAAAAAAATCAGTAAAACATAAAAGATAAAAAGATGATGAAGTGAGAGGCTTCTCTCTCTCTTATCAAAGGCCTGGGTGAGGAACTACATCTTAATACCTCTTCTAAACAAGAGCAGACTGGGCAATATCCAGATTTTGTGTTCATTTTTATCTATCCCACCATCCTTTGAGATAGGCCGGGTTGAGAGAAGATGTGTGCAATACAAAGTCATAACATTAGTACTGTAACCACATGGGTTCTATCTTTAACACAGCCATCTACAATTAATAAATGCAACATTCACACAATACACCTCCATGTCAATAAAGAGATGGATTCATACTATATGCTGAGCTTTTTGAGTGCTAAACAGCACACAGGTGAAATCACGCTTCATGATTTTGCATAAACAATGGAAATAGCTTATTCAATCACCTTGAATAAATTTCTTGAGGAAACCCAGATCTCTAGGACATTGACTGTAACTCTTCCAGGTTTCAGGTCCTAACAATCCTGCTTGAGGGCCAAAATGAGGTCAAGGACCATTCCAAGTAATATAGAGTTTATTTTAAGTTGTTGTTTTTAACTTGTTGTTTGTTTTGCAGGAGATATATGCACATATACCTTGGTGTGCATAACGAAAGTGTACAATATGAGGATAAGCAGGGAAGATTCCCAAAGAAGAAGTACTTTTGCCTCAGTAGCAAAAACTATACCAAATGGGACAAGGACATCATGTTGATCAGGCTGAACAGACCTGTTAGGAACAGTGCACACATTGCGCCTCTCAGCTTGCCTTCCAACCCTCCCAGTGTGGGCTCAGTTTGCAGTATTATGGGATGGGGCGCAATCACATCTCCTAATGGTAGGGATCTCTGTCTATACTCTCAGAATCAGCGTTTGATGTAACATCAACTGGGTCTAGGGTCCCACTATGTCACCCATGAATATTGGAATGTGGATGGACAATGGAATTCCCTAAGATTTCATTTCTTTATCAGTTCCACACCCACAAGGTCCTTGGAATAAAAGAAATAAGGAACTGGCATGCTGTATAGCTAAAAAAAAAACCTATAGGATTAGGTTTATTTATAGCAGTGCTGTTGGGAATCAGAAAAGTCCCATTAGTCTTGTGTGGCTTCATTACCTTTAATAATGGGGTGTTTTGTGAATGGCCATGGCCGTTTTGGAAATGGAGAAGTCTCCCACGGAGGATGTTTTCAGAGTATATTTACCACTTGCTCTCAAAATACCAAATATGAACTCAAAAACATGGTCTATCCTTCAATGGATATAAAATCTCTGTGGATGGTTCCAGAGGACTTCTTCCTTTTAAGTCCTGCTGGTGCAGTGGTTAGAATGCCGTATTGCTGGCTATCTCTGCTCCCAGCCTGGAATTCGATCCTGACGGGGTCAAGGTTGACTCAGCCTTCCATCCTTTTGAGGTTGATAAAAGGAGGACTCAGATTGTTGGGGGCAATATGCAGATATTGTAAATCACCCAGAGAGTGCAGTATATAGGTCTAAATGCTATTGCTATTGCTAGTAAGGCCATGGAAGTGTTACATGCACTCTCAGCTTTTGCTTATGGTCATCCACACATTCAAGCCTGCCAAGGTAGGTAGATCTTGTAAGCCCACCTTGTTTTCTACCTAGGTTTCTACCAAATAGGTGTAGCTAGAGCAGACAAGTCACACAGCCTTGGTCAAGAGCTGGGAAATAATTAAGGACTCACACAAATAATTTTCAACTAACCACTGAGGCACCACAGGTTTTTTGGAATACATGGAGACCCAGTGAATTTAAAGTAACAGCAAAACTTTACTGCTTGCAATGTAAATTTTCTCTTTCTCATACGCACATATGCACCCAGTGATAGATCACACTAATGATAAATGTGGGAGCTTTGTTCCTACTTATGTGGCGGGCATAAAAGTATAGTAGCTTTTTCCTCTCTTCCCACGGCAGCTGATTCCCCCGCCCCCCCGCCTTGTCCTCTCCTCCTCTGAGATCCATTTCATTACAGGTGGGAGAAGGAAAACTGGTCCAGGCAGTGAAAAGGGAAGAGATCAAGTGGGGGGGCTTTGGAGATGAAAGCTGCTTTGGGTGGATGTTTTGGTCTGCAGCATGTGTTTCCCTTTCCCCTCCTGCCTGCCTTTTCTCTGTTTCNCAAAAGCAGTTGATTATTGCTCAGTGGAACCAGCAGTGGGGTGGGAGGAAGGAATGGATTTCCCTTCTGCTGCCTCTGCCTCAGTGGACAAGACCTCCTTCCAAAAATCTTTCCTAAGATTCTGGCAGGCACAGCTCCAGAACTGAGCTATGCTGGCTCAGGAATTCTGGGAGTTCAAGTCGACGAGTCATAAAAGAGCCAAGGTTTCCCTTCTGCCTTCTTCAGAGAGAGAAGCTCTGAGGGGTCATTAGGATCAATTGTCCTGGAAGGACAGGGGTCCTCTTCCACACCCTCAGTGAATTTCAGCTGGAGGTAGAAAAACGGGCAGTGGCTCAGGCTGAAGAGTCAAATTGTGTGGGCCACATCACACACATGGACAACAAATGTCTACAAGTATAGCTCCCCTTGAGTATCACCTCAACTAATCCTTATTTTCTCCCACCCCATAAGCACTCCCCCCCATACACAATCATATTAATTTTTCACAGGTCATGCTTAACCTAATCAGGCAACTTCAAGGGCTCATTTAAAGAAGAGAAAAGGCCAGGTCTCCCTTCAGAGCCATAGGTGGAGCAGCTGAAGGTGCGATTCGGCACCCATGCTTCAAGACAAAATTTCATTTATTTGTAATTAGAAATAAATATTTCACAATATGTAATTACATATTGTTTTTGTGATTAATCACTATGCTTTAATTATGTTCAATTTGTAACAATGAAGATACATCCTGCATATCAGATATTTACATTACGATTCATAACAGTAGCAAAATTACAGTTATGAAGTAGCAACGGAAATAATTTTATGGTTGGGGGTCACCACAACATGAGGAACTTTATTAAAGGGTCGTGGCATTAGGAAGGTTGAGAACCACTGTTGTACACAATACAAACTTACGGGTCTGCTTCATCTTCAGATATGGAAGTTTCAGTATGCTGGCTGAGGAATTTTGGGAGTGGAAGTTCACAAGTCTTAAAGTTGCCAAGTTTGGAGACCCCCGTTCTAGGTCATCTCCAGGGGATGCGAGATCAGTTCTGTGACTTTTGAACTAGCAAAAGCCCCGCTTTTCCAACAAGGCAATTTTTGCGTAGAGTGCTGGAGAAATTTGAGAACCCTTCAAATGTCCATCAGTTGATTTAAGACCTATTAATATCTTGACAAAAAACATTTAAGTAAATCTGTTTTTCCCAGGAGTCCCTTTGAACAGCTTTGAAAGACAACACTTCCTATTCCAGGCAATGAGATCAGCTCCACTGGTTGGAGACAATGGAAATTGTAGCTCTATGCATCTAGGTGGTAAATTGTGAAAGGCAGAATTTTGCCTATTTTTTATTTTTTTCAGAGACTTATCCCGATGTCCCTCATTGTGCTAACATTAACATACTCGATTATGAGGTATGTCGAGCAGCTTACGCAGGGTTGCCAGCGACAAGCAGAACATTGTGCGCAGGTATCCTGGAAGGAGGCAAAGATTCATGTGTGGTAAGATGATCCGTTTTAAGACAGACTCCTAAGGAAATGATGCCAGTTTTCAAAGCTATGATAGAGATCTAGCCTTGAAGGCATCTTGTAGAAACATACAAAGTTATGGCTTTTGCTGACTCAAGTGCCTTCTAGGTGTCTAGATTTCCAGACATCCCAATATTGGTGATTCTGGTGGGGGAAACTCAATGAGTTAAATTCTTCTACAAGGATCCTGGATTGGGGAACATCGCAGTGAAACATTTGGGGGCTATATGTGAATGGACGATGGGAGGAAATTGTTTGCTCTACTTCCCATTCATAGATATGGTAGTAATGTTTCATGCTTGATTTTTCTCAACAGGGTGACTCTGGGGGACCCCTCATCTGTAATGGAGAAATCCAGGGCATTGTATCTTGGGGGGCCGATACTTGTGCCCAACCGCGTGAGCCTGGCCTCTACACCAATGTCTTCGATTATACTGACTGGATCCAGAACATTATTGCAGGAAATACAGATGCGACCTGCCCCCCGTGAAAACTTTTGAAAAAGTTAAAAGGAGAAAATACATCTCTTCTATATCCTTAACCATATCCAACTACATTGGAATATATTCCCAAGTTAACTCTACAACAAAAATAATTCCCAGAAAACAACAACAGAAAAGGAGCAGATAAAACAGATAAATGGATACAAAATTGAGAATAGAGACTTAAAGATGGGACTTAACAAAACAAGGAAACATGATTTAATCCTGGTGGGGGAAAAAATCACAAGAATTGGAAAACAACTTATCCCTTAAGACTGCAAAATAAATCTGAGGACAAGAAAACAGATTGGATAAAATGGGCTGTAGAAATGTCAGGAACATCGGAGAGAAAGAAAACGATAAGAGAAGCGGAGAGAAAGAAAAAGATTTTCAACAAACATGGAAAGTCAGAAGCCCTGTACAAAGACACTTCATCTGATTTACTTTTTATATCTACATTAACATTTATGAACATATGGAAAAACCTTTTGACTCAGCAAAATACATTGATTAAGAAAGATACCGGGCAAAGGAAAAAGACCAAAGTGGAAATCAAAAAAATAAATGATGGGACCTACCAGAGAGAATACTTTAAAAAGAAACATTTGTTTGAATATGGTTAAAGAAATAGAAAAGATTTGGAATATATATGTCACTCTAGGAGGGATGAATCCCCTAAATAATATGGTATGCTTTCCCCCCTTTTTTATTCTATTTCTTTATATGAGTAATATAAAAAAGTTGAAATGCCTTAGATAAAGTAAATGTTTTAGATATTTAAATGTGATTGAATTTAAGAAAATTATAATGGATAAAAATATTTTGAATAAGAGTTAAAGGACTAAATGACTAGATGTATTAAATGGAATATTTAAAGATTAAACATATTTTAATTATGGTTAAAAAGAATAAGAAATCTTGGAAACAAATATATATTAGCTTAGGAGGGATATATATTTTAAGTAGTATGTTATTTTTTTGGTTTTTTTACTCTTGCTCTCCTTTTTATCTATTATTTTATCTATTTTTTTATATTTTTATCTATTCCTTAAGAAATGTAAAAGTGTGAGATGGTTCATATGGAAAAAATAGAGTTAAATTTTTAAATGCAATTAAAAGGAAATCAATTAAAATTATTAAGTGGATTATGGATTATAGAAATCAGTTGTTAGTGATTGTTTTACAAATGTAAACCCAGAAAGCACACTGTTCACCAATTATTAACTGATTTATGTTTTAAAAAATCAATAAATTACAAAAAAAAAAGTAAAGAAAAATGTCTGACTTGGTGGAAAGGATATTACTAGAGTGGGAAATTGGAAAACAAAAATTCTGAAGGACGGCAATGAAGCTCACAATTGCTTAGGTTCATACAGGTCAGGAAGCCATCACCAAACCAACCTGTTTGATCGCCTAATGCAATGTGTAAAGCCAACTGACGTTCGTTCCTACCATTGATGGATTGCTAGCAGAGATCAGATCATTACATAACCTAAACTGAGCTAGTTTGATTTTGCTATTATTGAGAACTCGGCTTCCATCTTAGGTAGTCCTCCCTTGGCAGTCCTTTAACAGGATTCATTCTCTGATAAGTCTACAGTCCCACAAACAAAAGAAGTTCAATCAATCAATCAATTCCAACTTCGCAAGATTTTTTTTTCCGCGAAAAGTTGGAATTGATTGAACTTTTTTAGTTCCACTTTTTTTTTGTGGGACTGCAAATGGTGGAGGACTAGGAACCACAATAGAAGAATGAAAGAGCCGCATGCAGCTCGAGTTGCGGGTTGCCGACCCGTGGCCTAATGCAATGTGTAAAGCCAACTTACATTTGTTCCTACCATTTATGGATTGCTAGCAGAGTTCAGATCATTACATAACCTAAACTGAGCTAGGTTTGATTTTGCTATTATTAAGAACTCAGCTTCCATCTTAGGTAGTCCTCCCTAGGCAGTCCTTTAACAGGACTCATTCTCAGATAAGTCTACCTTGGCCCTTCCTTTCATCTACAGACCAAATACATTGTTCTTAACCTGTTTAATTCAATAGTATGTAATGTAGCGATAATCACCTTGGATAGATTTTTGACCCAATGAGGACAGACGCAGTAAGGGCTATTAATCGTGAACGCTTCCAAGCTGGGGGAAGTACGGTCCAACTATCAGGTGCAGGGGATGCCCTCATTTCTTGCTTGTGTGTATCTCAGCAGTATCTAGTGGGCACTGCGAGAAACAAAATTTTGGACCGAGATAGGTTTTGGTCAATCTAGCAGAGCTATTTATGCCCTGTTATCTAAAGCAGGGGTGAGAAGCCATCAAATACATCACTGGAAAAGAACTGTATGTTTAACTTTTATTAACATTTCATGTAAATAAAATTAAGTCAAACTGAGTGTCTGGCCCAGCTTCAGGAAAGCTGCATCCCAGTAGGCCATTCAAAAACTAAGCAAATCTGTTGAGCCAGAAAAAAAAAGTTAAGCTCCTGGATCTTTGCATTGTGCGAACGCAGCCAATGATGCTTATGGCCCAAGACTGATATGAAAAAAATGGAAAAGAAACTCTTAAGAATATGAATAGATGGTATTTTCAGTCAATGTGTAAGAAAGTCTCTTTCTTCCTTGCAGCCATCTAAAAATACCCCCATTTGATTATGCAAAGAAAAGCATGGCTAAAAATATGGTCATTTTTTACAAGGCAAGAATAACATTGTGTTAGGACTCCAAAGAGGTTCAAAAACAGAGTTCTCTACCAACAGGAGTTCTGCTGCTATAGAGAAAACAGTCTGCTGTGTTCAAAGGGTGTGTGACATGCAATGCACAGCTGGCCCATCAGGTGAGTTCTGATTTGTACATCAGAATGGCTGGTTTAAATTCTAAGGCTAAGCCATTGACAATAACATTACACAAAGCTCAAGAGAGAGAGGTTGGTCTGCCAATTAGAACATTACTTGTTTCCTAGCAAATAATCAGTCTTTTTTGGAATCTCTAAGAAGAGATTCCTAGATGGATATTTCATGGTGTGGCTGCTGCTAAAAATGCCAGCGCTGGTTTCCTGGATGGGTCTGCCCAGTCTCACGGCAAGTCTCCTAGGGGACTCCCCATAGGATCTAGCCAAAGCACACCTGAAACAGCCCAGCAAAATATGCAGAGCCATGTGGAGTTTCATTGTGGATGTTTTGCTAGCAATGGCAACTCTATACCCACAGCAGACAAATTGACAAGGGGAAAGTGATAAGCATTAGGCAGGAGCCCAGCATTACTTAACCATCTCTACATTGAGATGCTTCTCCAACTGAAAGGTTCTGGAACAGCATTCAAATGATGCTCAAGAGATTTCAGCTATGACATAAGTCAAGTCTCCTTAAAAAAAAAAAAAAAGGCATGCCCAGGAGATCAACCTCTCCAAAACACAAGACAGTGCTCTGGAAAAAAAGAAGCAAAATGCTGTAATTCTCTACTACTCACTGCTAGTGGATGGGTAAGGAAAAGTGGATTTACCTAAGCAAATTTTGGACAGTTGAGATGTTATCCACAGAAGAGGCTATGCAAAAGCCGGCTCAGATATATCAAAATTCAATCCGAGTTAAGTGGGGTATTATTTTTGGGGGGGTGGGGGCAGGGCCTTTCTTCTGAATTGCTTCAAAGGATTCACAAGTACACACATTAGTCTTCTCCCTTTCACGTGCTGTACTGTCCTCACCCCAATTGATCCTTGTGCTGCAGAGTGCACAGATGCAAGCCCTAGGTACACATCAGGTGAGGCTTTCCCTGGGAGAAACACTCACAGTAGGGAAAGGTTTAAAAACATTTTCATACTCGGCAAAGATGAAGTGTGGTTTGGGACTTCAAAATTCTTCAGCTTGGTAGATTACTAGATCTTTGAGTCTCCTCAGCTGTAAGGAAAAATAAAAAAAACAAAAACAAATCTGAACACACCTGTAAAGTTTTCATTTCTAGTCTCATGTGGGATTTTTAGAAAATGCCCCACTAAGGTATAGGATGGCAGAGGGAGGTAAACAACTTGAGTGGTAAATGCAAAGGAAATAACAATAGTTAACCATGAGCTATCCAAGTGGTGGCAAACATATGGCACGGGTGCCAGAGGCGGCACTCAGAGCCCTCTCTGTGGGCACGTGTGCCGTCGTCCCAGTCCTAGGCCTTCAGCTGGGTTTTATAAAACCTTTTCGCTTTAGGCCTCCGCCGCCGTGTGCAAAAAAAAAAAAAAAGGTTCAATCAGTCAATTTCAACTTCTCGCAGGAAAAAAAGATCTTGAAAAGTTGGAATTGATTGAACTTTTTAGTCCCACCGCAGCCACGCCCACCCAATGGGCCATGTCCACCCAATGGGCCACACCCACCCGGCACTCGACAATGAATAAGTGGGTTTTGGGTTTCAGTTTGGGCAATGTAGGCTAAATGCTGGTTGAAACCACAGTCCAGGACCTGTTACAGAAGTCTACCAATGCTTTGAAAACCATAATTAAGAGAGATTTGTGACATTATTGGTGGTCTTTATGTTTCAACAATACATGGTGAAAAAAGGCAATCTATAAGCAAAAGCTGAATAGGAAGTACATTTTGGAATAGATCAGCCTTTTATTGTCATGCAAAGCATCATACAGAACTTGGTGTACAAGGAGCGCAGCAGCTGCCCGAAATTATCACTTCTATTTAGTTTTGAGCAGTAGCAAACCTCTGAGCAGAGTACCCATCGGCCGACCAGAAAGAAGACTTTCTACCCCTAAGGGTCCCTTCCCTGCTACTTACAAAGAGCCCTTCCTGCCTGTCTGCTCCCGAGGCTTCAGCGCAGCCAGCTTCTTGCTGAAGCCCGCTGCCTTGCTCTCTCTGGATAGGGCTGCCGTCCAGGCTCAGGATGCAGAAACTGGTAGTCTTCTGCCAGGGCAACAGCCTCATCCCCATTTTCTGGACGACGTTCCCGGACCCATTTCTGGACATCGTCAGGGAGGAGGTTCAGGAACTGCTCGAGGACTAGCTGCTCAACGATTTCCTCTTTGCTGCGGGCCTCTGGTTTCAACCACTGGAACAACAATTCCTGGAGCCGCTCATAAGCCACTTGGGGACCTTCAGTCTCTTTATAGGCAAAACCCCGAAAGCGTTTGCGCTGATTTTCTGAGACCGTGTTGGACAAGCAAGGAATAGCCTGTTCCACCTTTGTGCAGCCTCCTGCCCGGCTGACATCCAAACTGCTGTGTGCTTCCTGGGCTTCCCCAAAGAGGTCAGGCAGCAGCATAGCCCTTCCTGGCTCTCTAGCTTCCTGGCATACATCAGGCATGTCTTTAAAAACATCAGCATCATCCTCCATCATCCGTTTTGCTCCCTTCCCTTCGTTCAAGGGTGGCACTGGAACAGGGACAGCTATCTCCACGGGAGGCGGCACCAAGGCTGCCTCGGTCGTTGGCTCCTCTTCACGTTTCCCTTTCATTTTCGTGGCTTGGCATGGATCAGCAGGCTGTGCTGGCATTTCCAAAGGTGCAGCATCCTCACCCAAACATTTGGCAACTGTGTTATATTCACTCTGATCATTATCTGAGTCCTGATGTTTACTCACAGTGTCATTTTCTGAGTCCCTATCTTCCGAAGGGCCAGAGCAGGAGCTTTCCAGGAGTGGTTTTTGAACCTCACTGGCCATTCTTCAATGGCTGCCAACAGGCGTTGCAGCTTTTATTTTTCCCCCTGGGAAAGTTCTACAGCAAGAGGTGTCAAAAAGAGAAAGGTTGTGGTAAAAAAATCAAGATTAACTCTATAGATGTCTGTATAGATATTCACAAAAACATGAGTTGAGCTAAGCTCAGAAGTGAGGCCTATGCAGAAGAGGTACCCAAGGAAAGAAGTGGACCCTGGGCAAATCCTAGCACTTCTAGTTGGAATGTTAATGAGGAGGGAAAGGAGAGGAAATAATGAAGAGAGTTTTGAATAACTGTTGCTAAAGGAGAAAAATATTCTCTAAAGCAGGCATGTTAGTGTACAATATAATCTAGACCAGTGATGGCGAACCTTTTAGAGACTGAGTGCCCAAACTGCAACCCAAAATCCACTAATCACTGGGTGCCAGGTGGGCGTGGCTGTGGTGGTCATGAGAGTGGGTGTGGGAAAGGTGGGCATAGTCACTCTATGTTGCTCGTGGGGAGGGACGCCTGTGGGGGCCAGGCAGGGTTGGGAGAGATCCAGGGGGTCTCTGGCAGGTGGGGCGGTAGGCAGGAGGTTCATCCTGTGGGGTGAGGCGAGGCAAGGCGAGGGTGCCATTGTCACAGGGCAAGGCAAGGCAGGGGCCAGGGCGGCTGCTGCCTGACACCATCGGCCCCTGCACACAGAGGCCAGCGAGCACATGGGGGCCGACAGTGTCCGTCAGTAGCCACAGCCTGCCAGCCCCTTGACCAGCGCACTCTGGAGCTCTGCAGCCTGCCGCCAGCAGTTCAGAGAAGCCGCCTTTGAGCTGGACGGCCGGCAGACAGCTGAGGTGATGCAGTAGGTCGTGCCCGGGAAAAGGAGAGCACGTGATGCCAGGAGGGATGGGACGGGGGGGGGAGGAAAACCAGCCATGCTGGGATGCATCCGGCCACATGGGACCTCGGTAAGTTAGCGGGCAGCTGGTTGAAGCGGGACGGTTGCCATCTCTGGGGCATGGGACGTGTGCCCACAGAGAGGGTTCTGTGCTGCGTCTGGCACGTGTGCCACAGGTTCGCCACCACTGGTCTCGACACTGTAGAACTGTGCTGAACAATCCGGCTTGCTTTCTTTGCAGTTACCGGTACTTACATTTTTTCCCTGCTGTGGACTTACCGCTGCTTCTCTATAGTCACCTCCCTTTAATCCATATTTTAAGAAGCAAACCAATATATAAACACCCACCTGGGAATAAATGCCAACCCAGGCACTTCCTTCCTTGTTACTTCACAAAAGGAGACACACTCTCCAAGTACAGATTGAATATAATGATTCTGGGGGGGGGGCGGCAATTAAGTACCCAAAGGGGGGGAATTACAGATTATACCTATAAAACCTTTATGTTAACAGGTCCAATCCTTTCATCAGACAGTGGAATACCCTTAGCTCCGCATAACACCCTCTTTACAGAACGGCTGACCTTTTTGTTGCGTGCAATATTTTTTTTTTAACATTTTGTGGAATTTCTCCAAGAATTCAGAAACTCCCCCAAACGTCATCCTTACGACTCCAAGGGATACTACTCCAATAAATAAGAGAAAGGCTTGAGAGGGAGGGGGAAAAGAGGGCCGGTGCAAAAGGAGAACGAGGCCGACCCATTCTGGGGGGGCAACCGTTACACCCCAACCCCGACCGAGGTTTTCCTTCGAAAGACTTCGCAGCCCAGATCCGAAAGGATTTCTCTCTCTCTCTCTCTCTCTCTCTCTCCCCCCATCCCCCGCCATGTTAGAGCTCGTTGCAAAAGCAGGCAGGAAAACCTTTCCGCTTGCCGCCACAGGATGGGGCGCAAACCGGCTTTCCCAACTCGGGAAGGCCGCGCGGGGAGAGAAAAAGGCAGCGACCCCGGCAAGAGCAAGCAAGCAAGCAACGCTTCGGCCTTGAACCTGCCAGGAACGACTGGCCGGTGGTGGCCTCTTTATTCCCCGCTCGCTCCCGAGGCGGCCGGGTAGCACCACGAGACCGCGGAGGCTTTGCAGCATCCCGGCTCCTGAGGCGGATGGCCGTCTTTCCGGGAGCGCCGCCTTCGTTCAGGTTCGCCGCCTCCCTCGGGCATCCCGCGGCCGCCCCACCGAGGGAAGAAGCGGAGCCGTTGCGGCGACACAACCCGCCACCACCTACCTACCTGCGCCCAGACCAGGCCCCGCTTCTAGCCGCTGAACCCGCCTCCGGAAGTCGCCCGAGTGCTTCCGGCCCAGTCGCGAAGGGGACGTTGACGGCCTTGGTCGGGAGAAGGTAGAGCTAGAAGGGTGGAGAAGAGCCCCCGTGGGAGTAGTTGAGAAACCGCTTCCGAGGATTGTCAACCGTACACAAAAATGACAGCGTAGCTTCATAGGCGGCCGCGTCTAAACTTGTCGCTTAGTTAGGCAACGCTTTTAAAAAAAAAAGCAAAGGCAAAGCCCTTCTCGTTCCAACGTTGATAAATAATTCCCATTAGGACTAATAAATCCCCGCAGGTAAACAAGGGACTCAAATGACGGCATCAGTACCGAGAATGAGCTGAGCCACATTGACCCTCTCAAAGCAGCCAATTAATTTCGAAGTTTTCTTCGCGGTCTGTGCCTGGCGAGCTTAGTACAATTAAGTGAATTGAACAAACCGTGGTCAAGCTAACCAAAGGGAAACGTTTGTTAGGCCATATTGCAACGTCCGCTGGCTAATGGGAAGGGGAGGCGCTTAAAAAAAGGTCACAGATAATTGCACACTAAAAAAGCACGATAAAGCACTAGAAAGAAGGGATGGGCTGTTTATTTTGCATTCTGTCCCGTCTCCAGAAGGAATAAACGTTAATCTTTATGCCTTGTTCAAGGTGCTGCTTTCCAGGTCACTGTGGGGGGGGGGATTGATTAAATTGGTTGTCAAACCATCGAAAGGGAGGATTAGTTTCGCTTAAAGGCCAATTGCCCAAACATTTTACAGAATAAGTTCCTTGGTAATATACACTGCCCTACAAATCTTGTGCTGCAATAAGAATATTTAAGGTAGAACTGTCTTTTTTATGTAAGGAGAAGACTCTATTGACTATGCTGCTTTAAGTTTCAAGTGGATCTCTGGAGCTGTGTGAATTGTGATTTGTTTTAAGCAGATTAACTGGTGTTGCTTTAATTGTGGTAAACCTCTTCAGAACTAGTCTGGTTAATACGTTTTCATTTATCTTTTGGACAGTTTTGAATGAGGGGACACTGTAATTGATTCCAACTTCAGCGCCTGCATCTTCTCTTACCTCCTGCCTCAACTTAAGTGTACTGTATTGGCCACAACTGTTTACATCACTTGCTTAATGTCTGACATACATTGCTGTAGTATTTAACTGTTGCTGTTACTGAAAGCCAGACTGGCTGTCTCCAAACTGATAATGAGGTTTGGGGCGGGAAACTGTACTTTAAACCTATTGGTTGCCACCTAGAGGCTAACTGTATAAATAGCTGTGCAGCAGCCTTTAGGGCAGTGATGGCGAACCTTTTAGAGCAGACATGTCAAACTCACGATGTCACGTGACATTGCGCAACATATCGGAGCTTTTTCGCCGTTGCCGGCAATGGGGTGGGCGCAGCTCCAGTATGATGAAACCGGCCCATGGGCCGGCAGTTTCACACCCGTTTTAGAGACTGAGTGTCCAAACTGCAACCCAAAACCCACTTATTTATCACTGGGTGCCAGGTGGGCGTGCCCACTGTGTGGGCGTGACTGTGGTGGTCATGGCAGACTGGGTGGGTGTGGCCAAGGTGGGCATGGTCACCTTGATGTTGTTCATGGGGAGGGATGCCTGTGGGGGCCGGGTAGGGTTGGGGGAGATCCAGGGGGTCTCTGGCAAATGGGGCAGTGGGCAGGAGGCTCGTCCTGCAGTGTGAGGCGAGGCAGGGCAGGGGTGCCATTGTCGCAGGGCAAGGCGACGCAGAGGCCAGGGCACCTGCTGCCTGACACCATCGGCCCCCGCACAGAGGCCAGTGAGCGCAAGCACATGGGGGCCAACAATGTCTGTCAGCAGCCACAGCCTGCCGCCCCCTCGACCGGCACACTCTGGGGCTCTGCAGCCCACCGCTAGCAGTTCAGAGAAACCGCCTCTGAGCTGGACAGCCGGTCAACAGCTGAGGAGGTGATGCAGTGGGTCATGTCCAGGAAAAGGAGAGCATGCGAGGCCAGGAGGGATGGGATGGAGGGGGAAGGAAACCAGCCATGCTGGGATGCATCCAGCCACATGGGACCTCGGCGAGTAAGCAGGCGGCTGGTTGAAGAGGGACAGTTGCCATCTCCAGGGCATGGCACGCGTGCCCACAGAGAGGGCTCTGAGTGCCGCCTCTGGCACGCGTGCCATAGGTTCGCCACCACTGCTTTAGGGCTGCTTCTGTTCAAACAAGTAATAAACTTGTTTGCTGTTTCAACACTCTGCCTCGTTCAATGCCTAAAGAACCGAAGATATAACATTAAGAATGTTAAATTTTAAGGTAGGGGGAAAAAAACCCATATTTGATACTCCCAACAACTGAATATGAGGGAGATCCTTTGGGGCCAAAAACCAATGATCTAATCTGGCACAAAGTACCTAAAACAGTAACATTTGTTTTGAGCATACTAACAGTGATTAACGTATTTGATCGTCATGAAATTTATATGTATGGTTGGCTGGCAAGGTCACAAATGATAATTACATGATCCCAGGACATTGAGACAGCCATAAATACATGTCAGTTGCCAAGTACCCAATTTTTCATCATGTAACCATAGGAAGGCTGTAATGGTTGTTAAGTGTGAGGATTCATCATAAGTCACTTTTTTCAGTGCTTTGTAACTTCAGTCACTAAACAAATGGTTTTATGTCGAGGACTACCTGTATATACATACATATATATTTGTGTGTTTGTGTCTCACACTATTAATTTTCCTTTAGTTTATCTTTTCCGTTCTCTCTAGTATCAAGTATTCAAAGTTCTTTAGAACATAAATTTAAATTTCTTACCAACATAGCCAAAAACAGTTCCTGTTTTGTAAATGTTGATAATGCTTTTCTTATGCTGATCAATACTATGTCCACTCATAAAAAAAAGCATTTACAGTTGATGTTGTGGGAATCTGTCAAGATCCGTAATGATTGTACTCATGAATATATTAGAGTTAGAGGGAATATAATGTTCAGCATGAAAGCAAGCTGGATCTAGAATACCTCAAGGCCTGTATCTGGCTAACAATTCCTCCCAAAACCATTATTTGCTTTCCAAACAGGAGCGCTGATTTCTTGTGGATTCAAAGGAGGCTTTCTCTGCAGACTTCTATGCTAATTGGGTCAATGCACATGCTATTTATTGCCCACAAATGGTACAGAAATCCTTCCCAGTTGCTTTATTTAAACTCAAGCAGGAAAGGGAAGAAAGAGATTACTACAGTATATATATATATATTAAAAAAAAACCAAGGGTAACAGTAAAAGGATAAAGGAATGACAACATTTGCACCATAGCAGGGAAAGAGCATCTGGTTCAGAGCCTGCTGTAGCCTAAGCAATCCAACAGGATGGGAAAGGGATAGGGAATCATGGGCAGGGATAGTTGTAAGTCTCAGGCAATCAAGAGGAAAGGCTGCTTTTCACTCTCCTTTTAAATCAGGAGCTTCTAATATTTATATTGCTGCTGAATTTCTTGATTTGGGGGTACATTCGGTCCATGCAAGGTTTCAGAGATGCTACAGGAAAGATAAAACACTATTAGTATCATATCAAAACATTTTAAGTATTTTATATTCTATTCAGAGAATGAACACTTGGCAAACAGTTTAATATAAAAGTGACTAACGATTTCTAACCAAGCCCAGATATTTCATAAAGAAAAAAAGAGATTCATTCATAAAAATTTCCTGAGTTACAATTATAGATTGGAAGAAAATGCCAAATAAGCAGATGTTGCTCACTTTTGTTTACATCAAATGGGAAACAAATGTGCATCAAAAAGTGGAAAACCACATATTTAGATGGACTACATTAGTTCAGGGAAAGTACAATAACTATCCATCAAACTACCCATCATTTTTTTTAAAAAAAATCTATAAGAAATCTTTCCACACCTGTGGAAATAATCTATACTGTGTGTGATGTTCAAAATATCTTCCATCTGATTAAGTTTTCAGAGTCTCACCTACTGAATTTTACTGAGAATGGAACTTTAGCTCTCCGTTCCAAGACTGTCTTCTCTACCAGCCATCATTGAAGCCGTCTGCAGTAATCCAAATTTGCAATGACACTACACTGTGGACATTCCCTAGTTGAAGAGCAGAACTTTCCATGCTATGACTTTGGAAAACAGGCAACTGCTTCGGATTAATGGAAAACTGTAAATTCTATCATATAGTCCAAATAACAAAGCCAAATATTTAAGGATAGCTGTTTGCCATTTTTAAACCCTTGTTACTTGCTCTGTTTTAACAGTACTCAACAAGAGAGAGACTCATTTTCCTTTTCAAAGAAAGGAAAATAAAACCTAGAGAGTATGAAAGGAAAAATGCCTTTGCCCAAAAAGTAACGAGGGGGGAGACTTACATTTCTTTCCCGCCATACTGGCCTACTAGGGATTTCAGCAATGTTCTGGGATGTGTTTGTTCCTGGTAAAGATTTTGTGTTGTTCAGGATCCGTACAACAGTGCCAAGAGCCTCTGATATGTCCTGCAAAGAGGAACCGCTCAACCCATACAGTGTAGAAGCTGCATATAAATGAACAACAGCAAATAGATAATAAACATCACAAAATGCTGCAAAAAAAAAAAAAACTTCTTAGCAATCTTGGTGGGACCTTCGTTCTTGCCATCTTAATAAATACACTGAGATATGTCTTTCCACCTTAGTTTACTTTTAAAACAGTGGATAAATTTTTCAAATCAATCCTTAGTTCCTTCATCAAGTTCTTTGCTGGTGTCTTTAAGCTGTATTCATTTTAATTCTTGTTTATTCATTGATATCCTACCTTTCTGAATGAAATACTTATTTAAGACCGCTTAGCTAGGATGCCAGTAAAGAATTCCCTACCGAATATCAACACTACACTTTCCTGGTGAGTGCTCTTATATTATGACAAAATGAGAAGTAAGATTTGCTATGGGGGATGCTGTTTTCAAGGATAAGTATACTTAATTAATAGCCAAGCAATTATTCTGGGCAAGATCTAAGCGATTTATGTTCTGTATTGTGGCCAGTACTGAATTCAGCAATAAACAAATATTAAACAGAATCATTGGCAAGACAATCATGCAAGTATACAGGCAAGATACAAATTCTTGCAAGTAACACTGGAAGGACAAAAAGAAAATTGATGTCACCATGGTGAAGAGACCCTCTGTGTTTATGCCTCCAGAGTTACCTTGGGTTAATCGGAGCTCCTCACGTACTGTATCCAACTCAGCCTTCAACATGGTGCAGCCCACACAGGGGGGTAGCATCCTGGAACCAGGGCCTCCGTCTTGGGCTGTGTCACCACTGCCATTTCCACTCCAGGGAGAATCCAGTAAAATGTCAATGCTGTCACTAAACGAAGGTCTGTCTATGTCAGGAGACCCATGACCATCATGGCCAGGTTGGGGGCTGGACACGGTGGCATCCTTGTCAAAAGCCAACTGAGATGGCCCAAGACTAGCCGATGCTTTCTGCTCATGCTTTATCCCATTCACAGCTTCTGAAACTCGGCCACTGCTTTTCATCTTAGCTTCCCCTTCCGTCTGGCTTTCTCCAGCCACGTTATAACTGGGGACAGATCTTCCCCGCCCTTTTGCTTTCCCAGCCTGCTTTCCTGGCCTAGACGTGGGCATTTCTTTTGCTTTCTTTCCGGTTTCAAGCATTTCTTGCTCCTCTATGCTATTATCCAACTTCATCTGCTTGGCTGCTGCCACACCGTGTTCTCCATCCTGTTTGGGCACAATCTGCTCTCTCGGATCTGATCTGGCTCTCTTCCTCAGCTGGAGATGTGTTTCTGTACCTGAAGATGGAGAATAAGTTTATCTTGAGAGACCTGCCAAGATACAAAAATAACAGATGGGCTCGTGGTTAAGGCCCTAGGCTGGGAATCTTTAAGACTTGGGTTCCAGGCCCATAGATGGAGTGGCATTCCACTCACTTCTTAGAGGGTATATGCTTTCTTACTTAAGAGGTTTTTGTTTGGGCTGCAAATATGAATACAACCCTTAGAATGTGAAGGGTAGTTGATAGCTTTCCTTTTATAAAAACTTTGAGATCATAATTATTCCTATTTTACATATAAATTGAAGACATCATTAAGAAATCAAGATAAATTTACTTGCTTAAGATTCATCCAATGTGGAACTCCTTCATAGAGCTTATGCACATACTTCTAAAGTAATCTGAATTAATTTGGAGAGCTCTTTTTTTGTCTTCTCTCTATAGCAGTGGTGGCGAACCTATGGCACACGTGCCAGAGGCGGCACTCTGAGCCCTCTCTGTGGGCATGCGTGCCATGCCCCAGAGATGGCAACCGTCCCTCTTCAACCAGTCGCCCACTAACTTGCCAAGGTCCCATGTGGCCGGATGCATCCCAGCATGGCTGGTTTCCCTCCCCCCCGTCCCATTCCTCCTGGCCTCACATGCTCTTCTTTTCCCAGGCATGACCCACTGCATCACCTCCTCAGCTGCATCACCTCCTCAGCTGTCGGCCGTCCATCCAGCTCAGAGGCGGCTTCTCTGAACTGCTGGCGGCAGGCTGCAGAGCCCAGAGTGCGCTGGTCGAGGGGCTGGCAGGCTGTGGCTGCTGATGGACACTGTCGGCCCCCATGCGCTCACTGGCCTCTGTGTGCAGGGGCCGATGGTGTCAGGCAGCAGCCGCCCCGGCCCCTGCCTCACCTTGCCCTGTGACAATGGCACCCCCGCCCTGCCTCACCTCACCCCACAGGATGAGCCTCTTGCCTACCGCCCAACCTGCCAGAGACCTCCTGGATCTCCCCCAAACTCTGTCTGGGCCCCATAGGTGTCCCTCCCCACGAACAACATAGAGGTGACCACGCCCATCTTGGCCACACCCACTCAGTCTGTCATGACTACCACAGCCACCCCCACCCAGTGGGCCATGCCCACCTGGCACCTAGTGATAAATAAGTGGGTTTTGGGTTGCAGTTTGGGCACTCCGTCTCTAAAAGGTTCACCATCACTGCTCTATAGTGTACCGAGGTTTAGATTTAAGGAAATCTTAGCAACTGTGAATTCAATTAAATGCCTTTTGAATCAACCAACCCTGCTGTGGACCTGAGAATTACCATTCCATTTACAAATATACTGTTGAGTGAACTCAACAGGCTGTGACATGTGAATGAGTGAACATAAACTGAACCTGAACAGGGGTTGCCACAAGGAAGAGGGAGTCAAGCTATTCTCCAAAGCACCTGAAGGCAAGACAAGAAGCAATGGATGGAAACTAATCAAGGAGAGAAGCAATCTAGAACTGAGGAGAAATTTCTTGACAGAATAGTTAATCAGTGGAACAATTTGCCTCCAGAAATTGTGGGTGCTCCAATACTGGAGGTTTTAAGAGACTGGACAGCCATTTATCTGAATTGATATAGGGTTTCCTGCCTGAGCAGGGGTCTCTTCCAACTTTATGATGATGATGATGATGATGATGAAGAAGAAGAAGAACCTGGGAGGCCTATAACATCTCTCTTCAGCAAACACTTCACTTCCTTGCCTTCTGATGATCCCAATCACGGCCTTGGCTGGCTTTTCCTTTCCACAGATTTTGCTAATTTGCTAGTCTCTATGCCAGTGGTGGCGAACTTATGGCATGGGCATGCGTGCCCTCGCCCCAATCCTAGGCCTTCAGCTGGGTTTTATAAAACCTTTTCGCTGTAGGCCTCCACTGCCATGTGCAAAAAAAAAATGGTTCAATCAATCAATTTCAACTTCTCACAAAAAAAAAAAGATCTGGCAAAGTTGGAATTGATTGATTGAACTTTTTAGTCCCACCCAGTCTGCCGTTACCACCACAGCCACGCCCTCCCAAAGGGCCACGCCCACCCAATTGGCCACACCCACCCAATTGGCCCCACTTACCCAATGGGGCACACCCACCCGGCACCCGACGATACATAAGTGGGTTTTGGGTTGCAGTTTGGGCACTCGGTCTCCCAAAGGTTCGCCATCATTGCTCTTTGCTAAGAAGCATATTGCTAAAAAAATATTTCTTTGTTTGATGTACTGACCAAGCAATGATAGAAACTGAGAGGATAGAGTGGATAAAGCTGCTTATGGTATGCAAGTATAAATAGAAAGGGGAAAACAATCTAAGTGGAGATTTACTAAAACAAATGAAAACAATAGACAGTGATCCTCGAAAGATAAAGAAACAAATCTGTCACATCAAAGATTCAATGCACCTAATAAGCAAATTCTTACCTAGTAAGCCAACCTTTCTAGGATTTTCTCGACTGTCTTTTATGCAGGGTTGTCTCTGATCCTCATTCAAGTCTTCTCGAGGGGAATCTACAACCATGTTATCAGAAGTAACACATATCTGAAAAATAAGAATGCCACTCTTACAAATTAAAAAGGGCCCTCAGTTCCACACCAAAAGGGTAAAGAGGTATTCCCCTATCATTTGTGAACTGGGGATAAATACAAACATTTTGAACTTGCTGTTTGTTGCCTCATCCTAAATATTCTTCAAAACTGAATCTTGCTGCACAATCATATGAAAATATTGGCTAGAATTTGACAATTTATACCCATAAGAATTTTATTTTTTTAAAAAGCAGATTCATTTTCTACTGTCTAGACCAGGGGTAGGCCACCTTGGCTCTTTTGTGACTCGTGGACTTCAACTCCCAGAATTCCTGAGCCAGCGTGGCTCAGCATGGAAACCTCTCCCTTTCCCCTCAGCATGGCTGGCTCAGGAATTCTGGGAGTTGAAGTCCGCGAGTCACAAAAGAGCCAAGGTTGCCTACCCCTGGTCTAGAACATTTTGAATAGCCTTTCAGCTTTTGCCAAAGCAGAAAGGCTCAAGCAAATTGGAAGTACAGGGAAACAGCTTTCATCTTCCTATGACCTGCAGTGCTTCTTGTTGCTACCTTGTCTTTGAAGCCCACCTTTAACTGAAAAACGTCAAGCTTTTGCTAATAACAACAGTAATTCCAAGATTCCATGTAGACTCCCTCGATCAGGAAGAAAGATGTGTGAAAAAAATTCCCTTTTCCTTTCCTCGCTCCTCCTGAATGCTATTCCCAAACCCCCAAAGCAGAAAGAATTCTCAACATGATCTTACTTGGTCCCGTTGCCTCTTGGACTCAAAATGGAGCTGGAATCTCTCTGCCAGGGCCACAGCTTCCTTGCTATTTTCGGGCTGGCATTCACGTACCAAGGTCTGGATCTCGTCAGGGAGTATGTTCAGGAACTGCTCAACAACTAGCAGCTCCATAATTTGCTCTTTGCTACGCACGTCTGGCCGTAGCCACTGGTGGGAAAGCCGCCACAGACACCTGTATGCTTCTTGGGGTCCCTGGGCCTCCTGGTAATGGAACTGCCTGAATGACTGTCGGTGCGTCTCTAAGTCTATGTCTGTTTCAAGGGCTTTCGCACGACTGCTGGCACACAGATGTTGGGCCTTGTGGTGGAGCTGGTCTTTCCCTTGCTGCTGAGAACTCTGGTATGAATCGCACAATGGATTCAAAACTGAGAGCTGTGCCTCTGAATGGTCACCTTTCCCTGTTCCTCCCAGGTGCCCCGCAGCGAAAGGGAGCCTTGGGCCTGGCAGCATCTCCTGACAGTGGTCTGCAGGAGACTGCTGAGACAAGAGCCACCTCAGTATCTCTTCGGCGGTCCAATACTGTACTTCAGGAGGCACCTTAACTCTTCCTCCGAGTGCTTCCTTCACTGCAAGTCTGTTTAGACTCTTCCCCGAGAGGTCAGACTGCATTATCTGTTCTAATAAAGCCTGCAGGGCTGAACTAGTCCCTGCAGCTGTTCCTGCTCCGTTCTTCGTGGCCATCTGCAAGGTCTGCAGAGGATTAGCACAGGCAGCAGAGTTAGGACTGGCAGGAGACCGCTGAGTTAGCACCTGGACAAGCTCAGTTTGCTTCTGAAACAGTTTCTCAAAGAGCTGGGCTTGGAACTCCCTATCCTCACGTCGCATCTCCTTGTCGTGCTGGATGAACTCGGCTAAACTCTGTTTTTCCTCAGCTTGGATGGCAACCTGTTTCTGCATTCTCTGCAGCTCCTGTTGGTGTGAGCGACTACACTTCTGGCCAGCCCCCCTTGACTGCCCATCCCCCTGAACCTTTTGTTTCCGAGTTCGAAGATGGGGACGTTGGTCAAGCATGGAGATGAGCTGCCTGGGCGGAGGCTGGATCTCCATTAGCATAGGAGAGGCCACATCTATAAAATAAGGAACAGTGAACAGCCATATATGTATATATAGAAAAAAATATACTCTCAAAGTAGTGCAACCTCATCCATAAGGTCAGAATGATTCCTAACATCTGATGGCTGATTCGAAGGTCAAGAAAATAATAAAATGAAATGCATGGGCAGAACACAACACCTGTGACTGCATGCTAAAAAAAAAAAAGGCTGAAGGTTACCCTGCAATGTTCTTCTGAGTGTATAAATAAAATAAAAAAAAAAACCTGACAGAGTTGGCTATAGAGCAGGGGTCTTCAAACCTGGCCCTTTTATGACTTGTGGACTTCAACTCCCAGAATTCCTCAGCCAGCATGCCTGGCTGAGGAATTCTGGGAGTTGAAGTCCACAAGTCATGAAAGGGCCAAGTTTGAAGGCCCCTGATATAGAGGATTATATTTATGGCCAGAAACAGAAAGTTCTGGTTCCAGTGGAATTCAGGTAAAATGTTTAGACCAAAATATTAAGTCCAACAAAATTGTGAAACTAAAGACCCAAATAGTTCAGAAAACAATTAACAGAATATTCAGATATAAGCCCCACCGCCCCTCCTTAGGTATCCTTCTAGAGAATTTGTACTGACACCCTCAGGAAAAATGAACAAGGGGTTGTTACCCAGCTCAGGTGAGATTTCACCTTCCGACTCCTCTTCCTTCACCTGAACTGGGATCACTTGGATCTCACCAAAAGCCTCATGAGTCTCTGCCTGGGTGTAGCTGAATTCATCAGTCCCTTGGCTTTCAGAGGCAGCAGTTTGGGACAGCCAATGCCCGGAGGCCTGGGACCCCCAACGCTCAGAGATGCTGGATTGGGCCCCCCAGGGCTCAGAGATGGAGAGGCCTTCCTGTCTGTCCGCAGTGACACTGGACCCTTCACCAACCTCAGAGGGGAAACCGGGCCTGCAGTTTATATACTGCGTCATGATCTGGTCAATTTCATCATAGAAGGGGCATTTGATAGGGGGCCGGCCCACAGAGTTATTTTCCTTAGCCTTGCGGTAAGCCACTTTTAAGCCTTTCATTTTTTCACGGCACTGGTCTCCAGTTCGATAAATGCCCATTTCTGCAAGACGCTGAGAAATGCCATCGTAGACGGCACGGTTCCTCCCGTGGGAGCTAAGGTCATGGGTGACCGCTGCCTCAGTCCAGAGGGCAAGGAGCACCTTGATATGCTCTGCTGGCCAGCTAGCTGCCCGTTCTTGTGGTCTATCCCGCCTCATTTCTACCAAGGAAAACGTCTCGTTGGCCGGTTACACAGCAGAGATCAGGCCCGCTGAAGTCCAAACGCAAGCAGGACAGATACAAGGAAGGAAATGTAAATGGTCTGTATTTCAGAGTTTGCACTTTCTGTGCTTGAACTGCCTTGTAGATGGTCCTTGATTCTCCTCCGTGTGTCATTTATGCAGAGTGTGCAGATTACGAAACTTCCAAATCTAGGCATCCAAACTCTGAACACCCACAATAGCTACATCTTCCCACTTGTATCAGGTGCAGAGATATTAGGACAGGGTAAGTCACAGCTCACGAGAGAAGGCAGAATACTGCATCTCCTGGGGAAGAAAGGTCAGGTTTCAAAAACCAATGTTTAAATCAGAAAATCTTTGATCTTCTATACTGTATAAAACCTCTCTCCCCTTTTAACTAACTTAGTTATCTCCTCTGTTTGTTGAAGGAGACAGTTTGGTCAAATCTGGAAAAATCCTGGAAGCCTGTGCCAAAAAAAATGACTAAATATTTATATCGCACCCCAGTGCAAGTTTCATGTTTTCTCACATCAGTCCTGTGAAGAAATTCAGGTTGAAAGAAAAGTGATTGGCTCAAAATATAAGCAAGCTTAACAGAGAAGAACTACAGAGTATTCTGTCTCAGCTTGTCACACAATATTGCAGCATTTGAACACTAACCCCCGGGATCCTTCAAAATAAAATCACTGTGCAAAATTAACTGATAATATAATCAATTTATATTTCTTGCGGAGATCTGAGATGACTATTCCAAGAATAAGTGATGTTTTTTCCAGACAGGTCTACTTCCATTTTCAGCTTGTGTGTTGTGTGATGCACAAAAGTTTGCATTTGGTTAGAAAAATAAGTAATCCATTGTATACAAGCCCCCCTCAACATGACAGAACTAAAGCTACTTCCATATCAGGAGATTGCTTGTTTTCATTCAATACCTCACATTCTAGAACATCATGGTAACAACTGAACAGTTGAACAAGATTAGAAAACACATAATCCAGGGCATCAGTGTTATGAATAATAAAAGTCAGTAGATCAGGGGTGTCAAACTGTTGGCCCGCAGACCGGACGTATCACGCGGAAGCCGTGCCCACCCCATTGCCGGCAATGGCAAAACCATCCCGATACGTTGTGCGACGTCACGTGACGTCGTGAGTTTAACATTTCTGCACTAGATCATTTATTACATGTAAAAATGAATACTTTTATCTTCTATTCTAAAATATTGTCTCATAGCTCAACAATATAAACAGATCTTGCTTTTAATTAGCTTTATCTCCATGTACATCTGCACAGAATGGTAGTATGACCTCACTGTGTGCTTGCTCAACTGTGACATGAGATTCGAGGATTAATGTGCATTTTAACAGCCCAGTTATCTTAAGCAATTTCAGTCCTCTCGCATATTTTCATGAAAACAAATTCAGATTTGTTCCACAAGGTATATTCTCAGATATATAGCAGCACTATTATTTTATCCCAATCAGGAAAATAAAGTGAAACACACTGTTCACCAAATATTGGGCTAACTGCTATTTCACACCATAACCAATCTAAGAATGGTATTGTGAAGTTAACACTGGGTTGTGTATACAACACAAATCTAAATACTGAAACAACTCCTTTGTTGATTCATAATGTACTAAAGGCAAATGGTCCCTCATGCACAATATTTACTAACTATATTGTTTGCAGCAATGCAGAAGTGATTTGTCTTTTTACTTTTTTTTTTCTCAATCTGCAAATTATATTACTGTACAGTAAGCTTTTTCAAAATCACCAGGTGGCAGCACCTGGATGTTATCTGGAATCAAAACCAAATGATTTCCAGGAATATAGTCTGAACTAGATTAAAAGAAATGCAAGCTTCAGTTGCAAAGGACATATAATTCACAAAATTCACTAGAAATTCAGCTGGACTTGAGGGCATTGCTTACAAGGTGGGGTAGAGGATTACCCAATGCATTAAACTATAAATTAACCTAACTAGGTTTTAATGATTTGCAAAGAATGAAGATTAAAAGTATCCAAGCATTATATGTTGCAGAAACGAACTACCAAATTTATAACTAATCAGGTTAAGCATATTGCATTCATTTTAAAGGCATATCTATATATATGATTGATCTCTCTGGAATAAAATTAAGAGAGTAACATAGTAAATAAAATAAGCTGTCAGGAAGAAAATAGCATATAAATATTTTAAAATTCACACATGTAAACATGTGGAAGGAATCTTTTAGGCTGCAGAGCAAGAATCCAAATTATCGCCAGAAGATGGTGTCTATTCTCTACTTGCACAGTGTTTGTCTTATAGATATCCCTTTTATAGTTTGACCCACAGTAACCATTTATATGTATCTGTAGTGTATATCTAGCCAATTTTTGACATAGTTTTACTAGTTTAACTTGCAATATGACTATGCCAGGGGTAGGCAATGTATAGGTGTGCATTTGACAGAGAGGGAGGGAGGGAGGGAGAGAGATTTTGACTTGGCTACTGTATCATTTCAAGAGGATTTGATTTGGTTATTGTTGCAATTGCCTGCAGTGATTGTATGTGTGTGCAGACACACACAGAGGTAAGATATGTATAGCCAATTTTTGACTTATTTTAACAGACTGTGGTTACATGTATTTACACACAAAACATACAATACATAAAGAGCCAAATTTCTACTTAGCGGCCATTTCAGCCATTTGGATTTTGTATAACTTGGGAACTCACAGACATGCATATGTACTTGCATATATAATATGTATAGCTAGGTTTTGATTATTATTGTAATAGTTAATGTACATGCAAAACCAACAGTTGACAGTTATCATTTTATGTTTAGCACACATGTATAAAGATATACATACATACTGGATGGATGGATGGATGGATGGATGGATGGATAGATAGTAAGTTTGGGTAATGAAATGTCTGTAAGAAAACAAGCAAGCTCAGAGCACCAAGGACCCCTCATTTCAACCCAGAGCTGCAAATATTCTCCTTCATTGGAATGAATGGATGGATGGATGGATGGATGGATGGATGGATGGATGGATGGATGGATGGATGGATGGATGGATAGATAGATAGATAGATAGATAGATAGATAGATAGATAGATAGATAGAGATAGATAGACTTACAGACAGATAGACAGACAGAGAGACAGAGACAGAGAATGGATAGATAGATGATGGATAGACAGACAGATAGACATCACACACACGATACAATATAAATGGATGGATGGATGGATGGATGGATGGATAGATAGAGATAGATAGATAGACTTACAGACAGATAGACAGAGAGACAGAGACAGAGAATGGATAGATAGATAGATGATGGATAGATAGACAGATAGACATCACGCGCACGATACAATATAAACATTAGAACATATACACTGTACATCAAGGCTATAAATGAAGAACCAGCTTCGGGCTAAGCTGCAGGCGGGACCCAGGCGCTCTGGGTTGGCATCCCGCCCGGGGACAGCTTCGATTCCTGCAGACCAAACCCCCGAGGAGGCCAGGTCGGTTTTCACCGGCCCCTCCTTGCCCCCTTCCTTTCCCTTTGCTCCCTCAGCCCCCTCCCCGCTTACGGGGTCCCCGGGCGTCATTGGACACGGCCCGCCGGGAAGGCAGCCGAGATGCTCTTGAAGAAAGGGCAAAGCCACAGCGACCCCGCTTAAGGCCAAGCGGTGCCTCCATCCCCTTCCGACCCGCCGCCCGAAGGCCCATCGCGGCCCGCGCCCTCTTCTTCTCCGAGGCGAGAATGGCCTCTCCTGATGATGGGGGGGCGGGGGGGGGCTTCCCTACCTGCTTTGGGGCGCCCCAAGTCGCCTACCTGCGGTTAAAGGACCAAGAGAAGAGAAGGCGGCGCTTCGGCCCAGAACTCGCCCGCGGGAACCAATAGGAAAGCCGGGAGATCCCGACCGGGAGGAGATCATTGCTTCTTTCATCGGTCAATCATCCTGGAGGAAGGGCTCTAGCGGCGGCGGCGGCGGCCTCCCCTCCAGGCTACCTATTCTGATCGGGCGGGGAGCTACGACGGGAGAGGTGAAGCACACTTGTCAATCAAAGAGACGTAGGCCAAGCAAAGGACTACCACTCCCGTGAGCCTCTCTGTCCCTGCCGGGTGAGCGTGGCCGGAAGCGGCATAATCCAGGCTGGTTTCCGGTCGAGCGGATTGAAAATGGAGGAGATCGGGATCTTGGTGGAGAAAACTCAGGTACGGGAAAGGGAGAGCGAGCTGCGGGGGGGAGGAGGAGGAGGAGGAGAAGCAGCTAATTCGCGGGGAGAGCGGCGGCCTGGCCGGTGGTTCGGCCTGTTCCTCCCGCTCCTGAGGCTTGGGAAGGAGGCGGCGGCGGAGCAGCGGGAGCGCGAAGGACGGAGGTGGAGATGCCGAGTCACTGCTTGTTGGTAGGCCTGGGAGTGGGTGTGAGAGCAAGGGCCGCGATTGCCAGCAGGTTCCCTCCTTCTCGGCGGTGTGAGGCGTGTTTCGATGTATGGAACTGCGAGCCGATTGCACTTAATTTGTATTTTGATTGTATACAGTAATTCTCTTTTGTACGCCTTGATTGGGCGCATATAAATCCGAAAAAATAAATAAAAATAAATAATAAGATGTTGTTACTATGTCATCATCAAAATCATCCTACTTTTTTTTTTTGTCTATGAGTCAAGACAACGAAGAGACCTACTATTCCCGCCTTCTATTTTCCCCCACAACCAGACTGTGAATTGGGCTTTAGTGAGAGAGAGGGACTGGACCAAATTCCCCCAGCCAGGTTTTGTGCCTAAGGGAGGATTAGAACGTCCTGTCTATTCGTTTCCAAACTATCTTTATCTCATTTTTCACCATCTTCTGGGAAACTATTCTCCTTTTCGCTGAAGCTTATGCCAATATCATATTGAGATAGAATAGAAAGCCATCTATTCGGTGGGAAGGGTTGTATTACAGGTAGGAATAAGAGCAAACTTAATAAGAATGCGAAATACTTTATCTGTTGGAGTTTTTGTCCAATTAGGCTTCAGGGTTTAAAGGAATTCCAAGGACGTTGCTTTGGGTACAACTAGTTAATGTTGCCAGTGTCCCATTCAATTCTTCTGGCGTGTTTGACAAAGGTTGAAGCTGGTTACATGTCTATTCATTTGTGTGAAATTTTGAAGTAAGGCTTAATCAGTAAAAGCAATATAAACCTGAGGCTTTGGAGTTTGTGGCTAATGTAAGGAGAAAAATAAAGCATGCCATGTATTTCTAACATGGCATGTGTCCTTCAAGATAACTCAGCTGATTATATGTTAGAAATACATGGCATGCTTTATACGTGGCATGCTTCGTTCATATACAGGGCATGCTTTATAGACATACATGGCATCCTTTATTTCTCTCCTTACATTAGCCACAAACTACATAAGCCTTAGGCCTATATTCATTTTTCTGATTAAGCCTTACTTCAAAATTTCGCACAAATGAATTGGCATGTAACCAACTTCAATCTTGTGAATATTTGAAATTTTTGCTTTTTTTTTTTTTGCAACAATTGTTATTGTTTTCCTCAAAACTGATAAGTAGCCAAGCCACAACTCCCTGTGTTTAATAGATACTGACATTGTATGTTAAAACTGTGGCTCAAAACAGATGGTTGAACCTTTAATATTTTTCTTTCGGTTATCCCTGTCCTAAATAAAAAGTTGCACATGCTTAGTAAGCCATGTGTTACATATTGATTCTGTTGTGTTAACCTTACCAGCCTTAAAGAGTTTAAATGAACTACACATTCTGTTTAGGTGAATACAACACACATCAATAAGTCCGATAAGGATCAAATATATTCAATTGCATATGTTAAACTTGTTTTTTGCTTCTATTTTGGTTTCCTTTTTCAGGATTTTTTGGCCTCCATATTGTGCAAATCCAGGTCTTCATCATTCATACTGTATGCAAATGGGGATATTCTATATCCAAATTATTTATATCTAATCTGTGCCCTATGTTTTAATTTCTAGGATGAGCTTCCTGCTCTCTCTATTTCCAGACCTCAGACTGGCCTCTCCTTCCTAGTTCCTGAAGCTGAGGATGTTGAGGATCTATATAGCCGATACAAAGTGAGCTGATGTTCAGTCACATATTACTATGGTTTAGCAATGCTGGGGAGCATTATTGTTTCTAAGTTGTATTTTGTATTTGTCAGTCTACAACTATGTCTATGTTCAAAAGGCATTGGAAAAATAGAACAGAAGGTGTTGAAGAAAGTAAATTATTAACTTTATATCCTGTATTTATTTTGTGCAACTCAAGGCAATATACACCATGCTTTTTCTGTCTATTTTCCCCATAACAGCATCCCAATAAAGTGAGTTGGACTGAGATAAAATGAATAGGCCAAAGTCACCCATCTGACTTGTATACCTAAGGATTAGAACTTGCAGCCTCCTGGTTTTTACTATAGTACAGTTGATAAGGTGTACCAAACTGGGTGTCATAAATATATAAAAGGATTGATCTCTGTAGAATTTTATTCAAGTGTCTCACATCAGTTCCTTCATGTCTGATATCTTTTCTACCAATGGCTCTAGATGTTGCTATTAGCTTTCCGGAACAATGGACTATTGAGTTGTCGTTCTCTTTCCCTGCCAAGAAAAGCATGGCAAGAAAAACCAGGGAAAATAAATGCAGAGTTTGCTCTCCCCCTCTCCCTCCCTCCCCCCCCCAGTAAAAGTGTACTGCTAGAAAGTACATTTTAACTAGTACTTTCATTTGTTTTTCCTGCTCTCTCCTTCCAACTTTTTTATTTTGTCTTGTGTTCTGTTTTTTTTTAGATTGCAAACATAAAGCTCCACTTTTTAATTGTGAATTGCCCTGAATTTTAAAAAGAAATATTATCACTCTTTCAAAAAGAATACAATCAAGTTATTTCAAAACGTACATTCCCCATGCATTTCTGGTATTCAGGATTCCCATACTACTCAGTAGTGGGAGTATATTACTTGATACACTATGCATATTCAGAAGGAATTCATGATGTGGTTGGTTATCTCTAGCCCTTGCTTCATTTTATAAACGGGAATTTTGCAGGTGCAACAAAAGCCACACTTTTTTGGTCTTTTTGTAGAAACTCCAGCAGGAGCTGGAATTCCTGGAGGTCCAGGAAGAATACATCAAGGACGAGCAGAAAAATCTTAAGAAGGAATTTCTGCATGCTCAGGAAGAGGTGAAACGTATCCAGAGCATCCCACTGGTCATTGGCCAGTTCCTGGAGGCAGTGGATCAGAACACAGCCATTGTTGGTTCTACCACAGGTAGAGTGCCCATCCTTTTTGCTGGCTCTTGATTTGTGGAAGGTTGAGGGAAAAAACTTTACGCAGACCTTTTTTTTTTTTTTTTGAAAAGGTTTATTGATTTTATGGGGTTAAGGATAAAATGGGGTTGGGGTCTGGGTTAGGGTTGGAATCAGGATTGGGGTTAGGACTGGGGTTTCCCCTGGTAACATTTTCAATATTTAGCAAACAACATATTGTCTGGGTACATATATTTACATATATTTAAACAGCAATAATAGATATAATACTAGATGATAACAATAAGTATAGTTAATTGTCTTAAACAATATTAGTTAATCACTCCATGTCATCCTTCTTACCAGTATGTATTTGAAGTTACAGATCACACTCCTTTCTGGGTCGTTTTTCTAGCCATTGATAAAAATTATCCCATTTTCATTTTTCCAATAGTGGGCAAACACAATTCTTGCTTACCGTATCTTTTTTTGAATTATCTCCCTGGTAGCTCACAGGACCATTTTGATTTCTGTTAAAATGGTTAAGGGCTGCCATTTCAATACCCCCAAATGCCTCAAAGCATTCTAAGAAAGTGAAGTTGTAGTTAGGCTTGATGGTCCCTCCTGCTCATAGCGAAGTTAGGTGATAGGCCTAACTAAGTGATCTTCCACTCTCCCCATTCCTTAGAAGTAGAAGTAGGACCCAGTCTAACCTTGTGAATGTCTCCAATGCAGGCTCCAATTACTACGTCCGAATCTTGAGCACCATTGACCGTGAACTGCTGAAGCCCAATGCTTCTGTGGCCCTGCACAAACACAGCAATGCGTTGGTGGATGTGTTGCCTCCTGAGGCTGATAGCAGTATTATGATGCTGACTTCAGGTGACGTGCATCTATCTTTCTTAACCAGATGCAAACTCTGCTCTCTGTCTGCATGGAATGTGTGTGTGTTTGTTTGTTTGTTTGTTTGCCAGAATGTCATTTTATCTGCAAAAATTCCAGATAAATAAGAGAACTGAATGTGCTAATAAACTCTTTGCTGCATCGTCTCATCATGTAGTTGCTGAGCACACGAAGTCCGGTCACATGACCTAGGGGGAGGTGGCTATTGGAACTGGGTCATAAGTATCCCTGGTGAGGTCTGCTGTAACTTTGAAAAGTCACTAAGTTACCGGTTGTAAGTCGAGGACTATGTGTGTCATTTCTTAAATTGAGAGCAAATAAAAACAGGGAATTGGGTTGCTTGCAAAAATGGGTAGTTATTGGGTTGAAAGCTTATCAGTGTCTATTTGTTCCAAATAGATCAGAAACCGGATGTGATGTACGCTGACATTGGTGGGATGGATATTCAGAAGCAAGAAGTCCGAGAGGCCGTGGAGCTGCCCCTCACTCACTTTGAACTTTATAAACAGGTATTCTAAATTTCAGGGCGGAAAGTTGGCAAACAGAAGTGGATACAAATAGTCCTTTTGTTATATCACATTTTTGTTTTTCAAAACTCATGTAAGGCATTTGCTCCCCTCCCACTCAGCTGAAGCATAATGACTTCTAAACTAGTTTGCTGAGGTTATGAAGAGATTGACAAGCATATTTCACACATCATCTGTCTCTTAGAACATAACATTTTCAAGTGTCAAGTGCTTCTTAAGATGAGGTATTAGCAGTTATGTGACAGGAAGAAATATATGTCAAAAGAAGTATGCAGTCTTCATGATATAGTAGCTACCAGTGGCTAGGTTTTGCCCATTGTCCTAGGCCGTGAAGCTCTCTTGGTTTTGCGCAGTGTGGGTACCTAGCCATTGTATTAATGGCTTAGTAAGACAGAAGTACAGTCATTATTTAGAGCTAGAGGCAATACAACTAGACAGCTCACTGGATGCACCAACAATGAAAACAAAGCTTAAATACACTAGGCATGTAATGCTAAGTTACGGTTCGCTTAATGTATAACTACCATTGTAGTTTGGGATATTTGTTGCCAGGCAAAACAGTGCAGTAAGATTAATAATTGACTGGATTCAGAGGTTTAATCTTAGCATTGACGGAGGGAGCTTATAATAGCAAAGTATTGATGTCCATACTTCAGCCATTTGAGACTGAGGGCATCTTTATTAAATCTGGGAAAAAGTAAAACACAATGGCCTCACAAATTAATTATTTCATTGCTTGTTGCTTCCTTGTGTGGCTCGTTTATAGATTGGAATAGATCCTCCTCGGGGTGTGTTAATGTATGGGCCCCCTGGCTGTGGAAAGACTATGCTGGCCAAAGCTGTGGCCCATCACACCACAGGTATGTATGATTTTGGTTATATTACCATGTGTCATATATAAATTCCTCACTTGTTAGGTATTTTTCCCTTTGATCTGGGCTATTTTGGCATTTTATTGCCAACCTTTTTAATACTTGTTAGTGCCTGAAGCTGAAAATGGGTAAGGTCTAAGTGTTGTACTTCAAGAAGTCAACATGGATGGGAAAATAGTTGCTAGCCAATAGGTGCAACTGGAAATAGGGGCTGGAGGTGTCCTAGAATGTGTATTATCACCTTCCTCTATGTAAAGAAGGATAGGCCCTCTCTCTCTGAGCCTTTTTAGTCTTCTCCGTAATAGCGCAGAGATCAACTGATGGAAGTTAACATTTGGTTACTCTGGAAACCACCTACAAGCTTGACCTTAAATGTATATTGCTTCATAAATAAACACAGACTCCTGCACAATCATATGCATAATTCCTCCTGCTGTGATAACAAACCAGAGTGCTCTCATGATGTTTTTCTGCCCAGCTGCTTTCATTCGGGTGGTGGGGTCTGAATTCGTGCAGAAGTACCTGGGTGAGGGGCCACGCATGGTCCGGGATGTTTTCCGACTGGCCAAAGAGAATGCCCCGGCCATCATCTTCATCGATGAAATTGATGCCATTGCCACCAAACGCTTTGATGCCCAGACTGGAGGTGAGTTGGCAAGCAGAAACCGCTGAATTTTGGAGTGTAGCTTCGATTATTTGGGTGGAAGCTGTGGAGAATGTTTGAAGAATGGGGATGTCCTCTTGGCCATGTTGCCTGGATATTTTCAGGCAGTTACAGAGATGTCCATGTGGGCGGGTTCTGGAGAGGCGGAAATAGTGTGCCCTGGAAATTTACTTACCTTTTTGCTTACTGTGTCCTAGTGGTGTCCTCACTGATTCAGCAGCTGAATTGTGTTGCTGCTGTCATTAACTAGAACAGGGCTTTTCAACCTTTTCACCCATTGTACCACTTTTAGGATAAGGCAATATCCGAGTACCACCAGTCGCCCAGCAAGGTGTCAAAAACTTGATGACCGAAAAAAAAAGGAAAAAAATGATAAAGTACACGTAGTCCTCGACTTACAACAATTCGCTTAGTGACTGTTCGAAGTTACAATGGCACTGAAAAAAGTGACTTATAACCATTTTTCACACTTATGACTGTTGCGGCATCCCCAGGGTCATGTGATCACCTTTTGCAACTTTTTGACAAATGAAGTCAATGGCCAGGGGTGTGTGGCCAGCTCATCACTCAGGTTGCAGGATGCCTGTGGGGGGTGCGGGCGGGGATGTGGGGGGGATCCGTGGGTCTCTGGTGGAGGGTGAGACAGGCATGGGAGCCTTCCTTCCCTCCCTCTCTCCCTCCCATTGTCCCTTCTTTCCTTCCTTTCTTCCTTCCCTCCCTCTTTGTCTCTTCCTCCTTCCCTCCCTCCCTTCCATTGTTCCTTCCCTCCTTCCTTCCCTCTCTCTCATTGTCCCTTACTTCCCTCCCTCTTTGTCCCTTCCTTCCTCCCCCCCTCCATGCCCAGGAAGGGACAAGGGGAGGGGGACAGGCTGCCAGCGTGGCTAGTGGCTGTGCTGCCAGTGGCGATGGCGACATGCCAAACCTGCCTGTGCACGCACAGAGGCAGAGGCAGAGGAGAGCTCTGCCCAGCTCACTTGCTCGTGCTTCACCAGAAAACATGCTGCTTGCTAATTTAGCAGAAGCGCCAGGATCAGCGCCGGGCTACAGCTGATTCGTGCTTCTGCTAAATTAGCAAGCGGCATGTTTTCCAGCAAAGCGCGAGCATCTGAGCTGGGCAGGAGCCCAAGAGAGCAGCTACAGCTGATCTGCGCTTCTGGGCTGTTCTGCAGAAGCGCGGATCAGCTGTAGCTGCGCGCCCCCATCCTGGGCTCCTGCCCAGCTGACTTGCTCGCGCTTTGCCGGAAAACATGCTGCTTGCTAATTTAGCAGAAGCACCAGGATCAGCGCCGGGCTACAGCTGATCTGCACTTCTGGGTGGCTCAGCAGAAGCGTGGCTCAGCTGTAGCTGCACACACCGATCCTGGGCTCTTGCCCAGCACACTTGCTTGGGCTGTATTAAGACCATAGATGGCTGCGTAAGGAGAGTGGAAGGGAGGCGAATTCGGGGTGGAGCAGAAAACACGGGGAGAAGGCGTTAGGAAAAAAGCACCAAGGTACATGGTGCCTTGCAAGGGATTCCTGAGTGTTCGGTAATTGTTTTTCCTCTCTCCTCTGCGCGAGAAAAACTTTTGCGGCGTAAATCTGAAACCAGGTGTTCCTGTGAGGTGATGCAGGAGGTCCTTGGGAAAGGCGAGGACAGCCTTGGCGTTTCCTCTCTCCCAATCCCCTTCCTCTTCTTCACCCCCTTCCCCGGCCTGCCTGTGATCTTAGCTCGCGGCTCCGTGGCTTTTCTTTGCCTACCCTACCCAAGCTTTCTTCCGCCCGCCCAGTTCCCGGGAGCGGGAGCGCTGAGGAGGTATGGCAGAAACACATGAAGGCGAGAAGTAAAAAACAAAACAAACGCGGAGTTCCAGCCAGTAGAGGCTTGGCAGCCCGGCTGCCGAGAAACAGGAGAGCACAAAGCCGAGGAGAAGAAGGTGGCGGTTTCCTCCCAAAAGGGGCTCCTTTTCTCCACCCCTTCCCCTCAGTCAGCCAAGAGCTCTGTCTACTATCAGGCTAGCGCTTGTTGTGAAGTAAGAAGAGAGAGGGGAAAGGCGATACGGATCCCGCCGACCTGCGTGCACGAGAACAAGTCAATCTGGTTGCTGCACAATGAGTCCCTGGGGAGGGCGGGGCCTTGCTCTGCGCCTGCGCTCTTCAGGGTTCGTGGAGGCTGCCGCCAAGCAGCATGTTTCCCACAAACAAGTGAGCTGGGAAGGAGCGGAGCGGGGGGGGAGGAAGGCGACGCCCGTACCACCAGCCAGGTGGTCGCGTACCACCAGCGGTATGCGTACCACCGGTTGAAAAGCCCTGAACTAGAACTTGTGATTATTTTATCTATCTGTATTATGTAACCCACTCTGCAAAGGTTTTTATTTTAACAAGCAATACTGAAGCTAAGCCAAAATAAAAGAAGGGAAAACATTGCTGTGTTTACGCAATATACTTAATCGCGTTAATGAAAGATTGCGTGGTTGAATTTGTATAACTGGCTGAGTTTGATCAGCCATCATATTCATGTTTAACATTACTTGCTTTTATTTTGGGGTGTGTGTGTAAAAAACCTAGCTTTTTGATCCTGATGATTCGGTGTGTTGTGAATCCTGAAATTGAGTTATTTGGTAACAAAATCTAAACAAGCTCTAGTTCCTTTCCTCCTTATTTATGCTGAGCACTTCTATGTGCAGCATTCTTTTCCCTCTCTTCCTGATTTGCACTAGGAACTAAATAGGTTTGACATTATTTCTTTAGCGGTATAAATCTCTAGTACCTGTCCAGTTCTTGGCTGCTGAGAATCACACGATTACCTAATATGTGGGCATTGCTCTTTCCTTGCCTTGTCACAGTGTGCTGGAACTCTGGGTTTGCAAAGTTCTTTATCTGTTGACCACAGTATCTTCTATGTTGGGTTGGCCTATGAAAGCCAGAGGGGAATCTCTCTCTAGGTAGGTTTGTGTTTCTGTGTTTGTGAACTGCAGCTTCTAATCGCCACAGCAAGAGTGGCTGATGGTAAAAGATGTGGGATTTTTATTTAAACAATATCTACAAGGCCATAAGTTTTCTGTTTTCCCAGGATTAGGCCTGGACTTGTTACAGATGCCCTCATTTCTCAACATTTGGTAAATTAAGCCTTCTTTACAACCTTTGTGCAGATCTGTTCAATGATGTGAGATTTTAATTAGGTTTGGAAGTATAGGACAGGCATGTCAAACTGCTGGCCTGCGGGCTGGATGAGTCACGCCAAAACCGCGCCCACCCCATTGCCGGCAATGGGGGGAAAGTCCCGATACGTCGCACGACGTCATGTGACATCGCGAGTTTGACATGCCTGGTATAGGATAACAAGTGAGGATTTAAGAAAGGGGAGATTAGAAGTCCTGGTAGCTCTTAACTGTAGGAAATAGTAAACTCATTAACCAAATTCTACCATTCTGTGGAATTCATTTGGAAAAGAAGAATTTCAACATTAATAAATATCTAAATTGGGGAAAACCTTAAGAGGATAGATTGCAAAACGTATTACTTCATTTATCTATTTTTGAAAGTTTCACAAGATTTCTGGTTCCTGTTCAGCATTTTGTCAATATGTATAATAAGTTGAAACTTGGGAGCGTCAATAAAAATTAGAGTTCTTTAATCTTGAGTTGCTTCCCAGAGGGAGCACAAGCTGGTGTGATGTCCTTTAAAGTCTGTGGAATGAACGTGTCAGACGTGGAATATGGAGGAAAGCATGGACTGCTTCTCTTACCTGGCTGTCCTCTGATAATTTTGTCGGTCTCTCCGCAGCGGACAGGGAGGTTCAACGGATTCTCTTGGAGCTCCTCAATCAGATGGATGGCTTTGACCAGAATGTTAATGTCAAGGTGTGTTGGGGCTTAAAGATGGCTTGAGTGATCTAAGGAGGCAATGATCTGCTTCCACTTTTCTACATTTTGAACTACACAAATACAGTGCTTAATACGAATGTGCATGTGTACGAAAGGGAAAAGGAGAAAAACTCTTCCCAAATCATAGCAAAATACCAAAAATTAACATATTGCAATTAATAAAAGTTTAGCCCACGGTTCACAATAGCTGATAATCTACTGAGGCACTTGCCATGTCCAAAAGAAGTTACGCAGCTTCTTTGCCCATTATGTCAGTATCTAAAATAAAAAGTAATTTTTTTTCAAGCATGGTTCATTTTGGAAGTCTGGGCTGGGATTACAAGAATTCCAGTAACGGGACTATTTCCCATTTAGAATCAATTCTTTGTGGATGGATTTTTTCTTCTTCTAATAGTATTCCTGTGATCGAACAAGGAGGCGAGAAGCTTACAAGGCAGTTAATGGTTCTCTGAATCCTTGTCAGTCAGGGAACCAACCATAATAACCCCAAGCTTTTTGCAGTTGCAGCGAGGAAAATTCCAGACTTGGAGGAGATTTTCTCCTTTTACTTATTAAACCTCCGTTCACTATTTGTCTTAGTCAGCTGTGTTTAAGAGTATACAAGGCGTGTATATAGCTTTGGACTGAGTTGGCATTTTAAAATTCAGGTTTGATGTGGTTGTTTCTTCTCTTGTTCTTTTGACCACAGGTGATAATGGCTACAAACCGAGCAGACACCCTGGATCCTGCTTTGCTCCGACCGGGCCGTCTAGATCGTAAAATCGAGTTTCCTCTTCCAGATAGACGCCAAAAACGATTAATCTTCTCTACCATCACCAGCAAGATGAATCTCTCTGAGGAGGTGGATCTGGAAGATTGTATCCTTGACAACAACTTGGTGAAAAGAAATGATCTTTTTTTGGTGCCTTATTGGAAAGACAAGGCTACATTCATCTATAGCAGGGGTCTCCAAACTTGGCAACTTTTAGATTTATGGACTTCATCTCCCAGAATTCCTCAGCTCTGGCTGGGGAATTCTGGGAGTTGAAATCCACTAGTCTTAAGGTGGCCAAATTTAGAGTCCCCTGATCTATAGAATAGGAGGTTTGGGATATGTTTTTTTTTAATTCTTTCCAACCCAATATTGTTGTAAAGAAATTACATAAAGTTGCTCAAGACTATAATCTATGCCGGGATAGATTATAGCTTCCATTTCAGGCAGCAGGTTGGGGGAGACAAAGGGTTTTGTGTCTAACACATCTTATTGGAGCAAAGTATTTAAGTTCCATCTCTCAGTTGTGTTTTGCATGAGTTCATTGTATTCTCCCTTTTCTCTGTTAATTCAAGGTTGTGTATATAGACACCTCTCGTTAGTTTTTCTTTTACAAGAACAACTCTGTGAAGAAGGCTTTGTTGAGAGCAGGTATCAGACTCAAGAGTCACCCAGCGACCCATAAGTTCAAGCAAGGACTTGCACCTGAGTCTCCCTAATCCAGTGTAGAATGATAGTTAAGGTGTTGGAGAAAAGAGACCCAAATTCTAGTCTACCCTTAACCATAGAACTTTGCAGTGTAACTTGGGCCAGTGATTCATTCATAGCCCAATGTATCTCCCTGGATCGTTATTGGGAGAAAAATAAGAGGAGCATTGCTGTGTGCAGTACCTTCAGCTTCTGAATAAAAGGCAGGATAAACATTTAGTAAATAAAAACTCCCAATACTTCAATCACTGCTTAAGACACATACATTTCAGCTGCTTTCCTGGGGCCATTCTTCTCGCTCACACCATCAGTTGTTGTGTTGCAAGAGCTGCTTCTTGTCTAGCAGATCCCTCCTCCAGGAACAAATTAGAGGCAGCTACTGTGGGAGGGAGAATTCATGCTGTAATAGTTGCTCCTGACTGGTTAGAGCTGTTTTCTGTTTAGCCTTGAAAACAAAGCAGGTGGATTGGACATTTGTTGCGTTCTTGCCTAATCTGGCCGTGCTCTTTGTTATGAAATGGGATATCCAACCAGTTCCATTTTTGTGTTATTGCTGGGTTCTTCCCAATTCATCTGGACCACCAGGAACTAATAATAATAATGATAAAGTTGGAAGGGACCTTGGAGGTCATCTAGTCCAACCTCCTGCTCAGGCAGGAAACCCTATACCATTTTGGACAAATGGCTGTCCAGTTTCTTCTTAAAAACTTCCAGTGTTGGCGCATTCACCGCTTCTGGAGGCAGGTTGTTCCACTGGTTAATTGTTCTAACTGTCAGGAAGTTTCTCCTTAGTTCCAGGTTGCTTCTGTCCTTGATTAGTTTCCCTCCGTTGCTTCTTGTCCTGCCTTCAGGCGCTTTGGAGAATAGCTTGACTCCCTCTTCTTTGGGGCAGCCCCTGAGATATTGGAACACTGCTATCATGTCCCCCCTCGTCCTTCTCTTTGTTAAACTAGACATACCCAATCCTTGTGAAGCTTGACTGAGAGAATATGTACCCTTTCCAATGAAGTGATTACTTACCTTTATTTCAATAATTGGCTCCCATTTGTTGGCTTCCCTGTAACATTTCACTGGGTCAAATGGAAAGGTGACCACTTAGAAGAGAGTATCATGCATGATTGCAGAAGTCAGCTAGCTAAAATTGTGGGATGGTCAGGTTGGGCCTTTTCTCTTTATTTTTTTCCTTTACTCCTTCTAGATGTGGCAAGGCCGGATAAGATCTCGGGAGCTGACATCAACTCCATTTGCCAGGAGGTTAGTATGCTCCTCCTGTTAGATGTTCCAAAGAAGCAGATGGCCGTCAGTTTTCAGTCCCGCTTAAACAACTGCTTCCTCTTTATTCTGGTCTAGCAATCCTAACAATTGGGGAAATGAGAGAAATCTTCAGAGGAGAAAAAAAAAATAGGCATGAAATGTGAGGCTGTGAATCATGTTCCTCCTGGGTCAACTTCGGTGAGAGAATATGTGTAGGCTGGTAGCTAGGAACTTAAGCTATGAGCTGGGAGTCACGAGTTTGGATCTTGCCTCTATGCAAACTCTGTAGGAGGACTAAGGATCTCTGCCAGCATTACATCTGATACCTTATCCATCTCATTGGGTTTTATTTTTGTGGTGGATTTTAGCAGACTTCCCCCCCCCCCCCCAATTAGTGGTATATCCACTTAAGCTGGATAAAAGAAAAGGCGAAACAAAGCATTATACGTGGGAGTGAATAGAAAGATTGCTGATTGAGATTCAGCAAACAGCCATATTAGTTTGTGTTTCTAACCAGCTGGGAACTGGGAATTAAAGTAGGGATCCTCTGAATAACTATCCCAATAGATTTATATATATTTGTATGTGTCTACATTTGCAGTGGCTGTAGTGGGCTGGGGAGTGAAATCATACTTCGGTTTTCAATGCAGGAATCAAAATTTTAACATACACAGCAGTCTGTTGGCGTCTATTGAAGGGAGGCTACCGCTTCCTTGGGGAATACATTGGGCTGCAGTTCCCAGAACCTCTTGCCCAGATGGTGTGAATTATATAAATCAGAATGAGAACGTGCCTTTGAGCATTGCTACATGGTGTCTTTCCACCTCTCCTCTTTTGTTGTGAGCACTCCCTTTTCTTCATGGTTGATGTTTGAAACATTTTCCCTTCTTCCCAGCCTCATTATCTTCTCGTTCTTCCTTTTAGGCTGGGATGCTGGCAGTACGGGAGAACCGTTACATTGTCCTCGCCAAGGACTTTGAAAAAGCCTACAAAACAGTCATCAAAAAAGATGAACAGGAACATGAGTTCTACAAATAAAGATAGGAACAGCAGGACCAAAGCTTGGTTTGGTCATCTCAGTCCTTGGGTTGGAAGGAGGGGCTGTGTTTTTTATGTGTTCCTGGTAGGCAACATTTATCCTGTGATTTTTTTTTTTTAAACTATCCAGAAATGCCACTGTTCCCTTCAGCGGTGGAAATTGGAGATGAGTTTGTCTTTATCTCATCCCCTCCATTCCCATATGTTCTTGATCTGCCTATATTGTTTTTATTCTCAGGCCCCATAGGGAGTAAGGTTTGAATTGGATTAACATTTGCTCCCTTGGAAGAAGGGAGTATGGGCAGGAATAGACCTGTCAGCTATTGTTACACCACAGTTCCATCGTATTTGAAATTTTGTCACATGGTTGGGGCTTGTGGTTGATAGTTGAAAGCAATAGTTGGCCTGTAGAGTGCGTGGGTTCATATTGCATGCTTGGTTCACATGTTAAATATTAGATCAAAATCAGTCAAACCTTTTTCTAGCATTGTGTAATGCTCATCTGCAGTTTTCGCAGCTTTTATAAATTGGGTTCCACATTACACTAAGCTAGGTTTTATTAAACATGATTTGAAGAAATCTCAATTTAGACCCATGAATCCCCACCAAGCCACATTATGACTTAATAATATGCTGTATGATCTTGATTATCAAAGCATTGATGACTTGTTAGCAAATACAGTAAATGAAGTTTATTCTTATGGTCCAGAAAATAAAAGACTTTTGTGATACTTTTTTGCAAGTGTTGGTGCTGCTGCGGAAGAACCAGGTTTCTTGGAAAGCTAATCTTTGGATGATGAGGGATTTTGTGTCAGCCGCGAAGGACCAGGACCACATATGACAGTGGTGGCGAACCTATGGCACGGGTGCCAGAGGCGGCACTCAGGGCCCTCTCTGTGGGCATGTGTGCCGTCGCCCCAGTCCTAGGCCTTCAGCTGGGTTTTATAAAACCTTTTCGCTTTAGGCCTCCGCCGCCATGTGCAAAAAAAAATTTCAATCAGTCAATTTCAACTTTTCGCGGGGAAAAAAAAAGATCTTGCAAAATTGGAATAGATTGAACTTTTTAGTCCCACCCAGTCTGCCGTTACCACCACAGCCACGCCCACCCAATTGGCCACACCCACCCGGCACCCAACGATGCATAAGTGGGTTTTGGGTTGCAGTTTGGGCACTTGGTCTCTAAAAGGTTCGCCATCACTGGCATATGAAGTTCCATTGCCATTCTATTGCTCTTGCCAGGAATTTACTCAGCTAACGGTTAGCACTATTTTGGTGTTAGATGAGGGTTAACAGAATTCAAAGGGAGGGGTTGGACTTAGTTTAAGGCGATGTAGAGATTCTAGGCTGATTCCTCTTTTGACTCTGCCCCCATTCCTTCTACATCTTGAGAATGGCTGTACCAGAATTGTTCACATTCTTTGCAACAATATCTAACCCATTAAAGAACGTGTATTTTAAATATTGAAAGCAATGGCAGACTGTATTAGAAGCAATAGAATTATCATATATCCTCATATTTCCAAGGGATCATCTTGCACAAAAGCTGGTCTATGAAACACAGTAAGCACAAGCTGTTGTATTCCCAAACTATGCTGTGCTGAAACCGATCATATTTTAACCTGATAGGTTCACACACCACACCATGCCAAGAGAATGAATGAGTTTGTACATACAAACTACCAGTGTTAACTTCACCGTAGCTTTAACAAAAGTTTATCTGCCTTTGTTCATACTACAGACTAAATTATGTGGTTTGTTTGCTTTGGACTTAGCATGCTTTGCAAATCTATCCCACTGTGATGTTGCCAGCAAATTGGGATTTAAACTGTCTTATTGATATACGTGACCCAGTCTTTGTGTGCATATTTTAAAAAAAATTCTTTTTGCTATTTTGCCTTATAGAGGAAGTGAAGCAGGTGCCTATTAATTTTCCTTTGCTTGATACAAAAATAGCAACAAAGTGTAGTTTTAATAATAACAAAATAATAATAAAAGTAGCAGGAGCAATTAAGAAAAACCGAACACTTCTCCTTTAGCGGTTGTCTTAGTCATGCACACCATGTGTTGGCTCTTGCTAGAAGAATGCCAGACTGACATAGCTGTACAGTATGACTGTCAGATAAATCTCGACCCTTGTTTGCTTTCAGTTTATTATCAGGCAAAGCAAACAAAGACTCCTGCTTCACATTCTCAGGGGCCTGGAAGAAGCACGCGCCAAGCCAAACGGAAGCAAAACGTGCTGCCTTTTGCTTTACTGGTTCAACTCTTTCTCCCCCCCCCCCTTCCCCCTCAAAGTTTGAAAGATTTAACTGTAGTTAAAAATAGCAGTATGTGGGCAGGAAGTGTCACTAGGTCAAAAGTAGTTTCTTTGTTTTAACTGGGAGTTCTCTTCTGCCTGTTATGGCTGTCAGTTGGCATAGTACAGGGGTAGGCAACCTTGGCTCTTTTATGACTCGTGGACTTCAACTCCCAGAATTTCTGAGCCAGCATAAAAGAGCCAAGGTTGCCTATCCCTGGCCATAGTAGCTTTGGAACAGACATCTGTCATTAAAGCAATTTTGGGAGACCCGAGAATCAGAATGTTAAACCTCAGTGGCTTCAGTTTGCATGAAATAATTGTTGCATTTAAAGCTGGGAGTTAGTTATCCTTCTCCCTTATTCCCCCTCCCCATCAACAGACCTCACTGTTTTATTTTTAAAAAAGACATAATTTAAAGATAAAGTCCTCCTTTAATTTCCTACCCATCCTTTTTGTATACATGGCAGGTTCCATGTTTTTTTTTTAAATCTTTGCACAGAAAAAATAATGGAACATTATCTTCAATAATACAATTAACCATGATACCCAGCTGCCAGAGCAAAGCTTTCATGTGACAGTTAATGATTATGAAATTGAACAGTAATTAAAGGTATTGGAGGGAGGATACTTTCTGGGTGGAGTGTTAATTGGGTCAAGTGCTTTTGTCTGAAAGCAGATTAGGATGTCTTAAGTCTGCTGTTACTTTCAACTAAGGATAGATGAAATTGTCAACTTTGCTTCTTCATTTTTTAAAATCTCTATTCCACCCAGTTTGTAAAATCAGAACATTTTGCTAAATTGTTATCAAATACAAATACTATAAATCGCATTTGTATTGGTGAGTTTCAAGAGGAACAGTATTCAAGAACACCTGTTTGTACCTGCTTGCATAAACGCTTTAAAAACAGATGAGCCTGTCAGACACAAAATAAAATAAGGTCTTTTGATTCGATTCCACAAAATGATCCTATCAAGATTCATATCCAGATTTTTTACAAGCTACATTTGCCTGGATGAAGGAATCTTATTTATACCTCAGAATTATTTTTCTTACCCTCAGATAGAAAATTGCTGATTTTGGTAACCTCTTATTAAAAATCATTTCCCACCCCAAAAGGATGGAAATCCTATCCTATCTGTTTCAAACCGCGAGTCATCTTTTGTCAGTTCACTGACGCTATGCAGCACATCCCTTAGTTCAAGAATAATAGGATTGGCAATCTTCCAACCTGAATTTCTGCTAATACTTCAAATACGTTAATTTTGCATTTCTGATTCTGAATCGGCTACTTCAAACTCTCGAATGTATCCTTTCCAAGATGTTTTAAGGGCTGATTTCATATAATTCATTGAATCAGGAAAACTTTTGTTTGTTTGTGTAACTTTGATGGACTGGTCATTGACCATAATAAAGATGCTGTTCCGTTTTGGGCAATTTAGTGCTTGCTTAAGCTCTATTCATTTGGGGTTTTTTTTAATGGTTCTATTTGCTGTACCAGATCTCTAAAACGAGTTACTTTGATAATCTGTTTAACTACTAGACAGCCCATGCCACTCTGGGTCTTCGTTTCAGTGATATCTCTTATTTAAACAGAAACAGAATGACTGTGGGTGGGCAAAAAAAGCAGTGGGAGCGGGAGCAATTTCCAAGTTCCTTCTGGTTTCCCCATTGAATTTTCTTCTGAAATCTGGCAAGGAACATTGAAAATTTTCCCTTCCCTTCCTTCCGTCCTTCCAAATTCAGGAAAGCAGTTCTGAATTGTCATAAATCAGATTGTCACAGGATATCCATGTGGTTGCTAAGAGTCAACATTGACTGAATGACATATAATCAATTGCCATTCCAAATAAGATGTGAACACCAGCAGTCATAAAGAGCAATATTTTAAGGAAATAAAGTGCAGAGGGATCAATTTCATTTTAATTTCTATTGACAGAAAAAGAGAAAAGCTGATTCAAAAGTTTGATGCAGAACAGCTGACCAAATGCCTAAAGTTATCCTTATATATTTATTTATAAAGTGCTTGGAATTGGTGAACGGGTAGGTTGTCCTTGATTTATGACTGCAATTGGGACTAGAACTTCTGCCATTAAGCGAAGGCATCATTAAATAAGTTGTGCTCAATTTTACATTTTTTTTGCTACAGTTGTTAAGTGAATCCAGCTTCCCCCATTAACTTTGTTAGGAATCTTGTAAGGAAGGTTGCATATGGCAATTGTGACTTACAGGATGCTTCAACCATTGTAAACATCTGCTAGATGCCAATGCCCAAATTTTGACCACATGACCATGGAGATGCTGTGACAGTTGTTAAGTCCGTGTAAATTCAAACGGTCACTAAACAAATGGTTATAAGTCGAGGACTACCTGTAGATTTTACAAAGAATAAAATGTCAGATTGCTGTCTCCAATTTAGGAGAAAGACAATGGAGGATCAGGAGAGAAATGAAAGTGAAATAAATGAAAAAAACCAATTCATTACAGTATTTTTTTGTCAAATTTATATGACTGCCCATCTCACAAAAAGGCCTCTGAGTGACATGCAACAAGACAAGATTAAAAACAAAATATAAATGTTATAAAAAGCTTTACAAAGCACAAGGCTTAAGAGAATAGTAACTATAAATAACAATGGAGCCACTTCGGTATCTTACTAGTCTCTGGGAATTGAGGTCCATACATCTTAAACTTGCCAAAGTTGATAAATGCTGACCTAAAGTAAGTATCACTGAATTGTCTGATTTATTGATGAGTAAACACGGTCAATATACTGACAACCACAGCACAAGATGTTAGAAACTAATTACTTAATTTCACCATCTTCGGCAATAGTGGGCCCTCCTTGTCAGGTGGAATTTCGGTCATCTTTTTTGGAAATGGGAGTGTCCCATCCAGAGCAGATTTTGCTTTTGAAAAGGCGCTGTAGCAACCAATAAAGCCTGTTGGTAAGCCTAGGCCAGGGGTAGGCAAAGCTTTATTTTTCCAAGATGCAGCAGTGGGTTGAATCCAGGATGCCACTTAGAACCAAGCCACTGAAATTCACAGGGTGAATGAGTCAGATTCACCAAGTTGAAACATACACAAAACGTAAGTCCGGAATCCAGTCCCGGTGTACTGTATATGCACCTCCAAGCCATCCGGCAAACAGATGATCTGTCTCTTCCCCAACTCTGGATTTCACCGAGCCCCCACCCCCCAAAGCACTGCTCCCGCTGCTTAGACAACAGCTGCTCCCTCCAAATGTCGGGGCGCACATGGGAAGCGCCTCCCAATTCTTTTAACTCCACACTTGCGCCCGGGCGTGGGTGTAAGAAACCGGGAGAGGCACCTTGTGCTGAGCAGGGTACGTGCCCAGACAGGTGCTTCTCCGCCAGGCGTCCTTCTCATTCGCCAAGGACAACCCGCCTGAGCCCCGGTGGCTCGAGGGCTC